CTCTTTAAGGAATACCTGGGATAGGATAAAGTAATCCTTCTACCCCCAGTTACCCCCCCCCCCCCCCCAAAAAAAAACAACAAAAAAAACATATATATATATATATATAAAATATTGTAAAGTGGTTGTCCCACTGGCATAAGGTGAATGCACCAATTTGTAAGTCGCTCTGAATAAGAGCGTCTGCTAAATGACGAAAATGTAAATGTAAATGTTGTGCCCTTCTCCATGAGTGTGCTGCGCAATAGGAAGCCTTGTCACTCGCATGGCTCTCCGTCACGTGATCGGGTCTTTCTCACAGGCTACAAATTCATACAGACACTTCCGCGACGCAACTGCGCGCGTCCTTATCCGATTCCGAGGTGCATATTGAAGATATTGGAATAACTTCTCCACATTTACTATTCGTCAGCCAACAAGATGAATAGACCTAACGAACAGCAAAAGCACGAACCTATTTCAATCTACTATCCCCCATAGTACAAAAGTCAACCTATTCTATTCGATAAATAAATATTCCAAACATAGTCTTGGACAGTTGTGGGATGCGATAGATCCCAAATGAATGCAACCACTAACATAAAAAAAACGTATTTATGCAATGTGGCAGACGCAACAGATCATAACGTTTAGCTTAAAATGTTTAAACTATTTCTTCACATAATAAGCGCGAATGTTCCATTAAAGGAAAACACTATTATCAAAAGTGACCGCAAATGCAATTGTGCATGTAATGCTTTTATATAAAGGTGCCTTTTTATGGTGAAAATGATCTTCCCCAAATGTGAAACTCATGCGCTGCTTATATATGCCAATTAGGCTCTACACCCCTTGTAAAGCGGATTAATGTGCTTCATTTTAAGAAGTTTTTTGGCCACTTTAGTTGTGATACAAACCTTATTAAAACATATAGGTCTATGGGCTAGGCTACATGAGGTGTGCGACTATGATTCGAAAAAGTCGCAAAAACAAAGGCATTGTTTCTTATGCTGGGCATCATTCACAAGTGATAGGCTAATATTGTCACCCATCAGACTTTTCTTGATTTAATCTTGTCTTTACATATACTAAATAATATATGTGTGACATTTGTTTTGATTTAGAATGGTCCATTATCATGCACCTGCATCGAAACAGGGCCAGCTGGAAAAAAAATACATGTAATCTATGCACTTAAATAGGAAATAGAGGATGCTTTTCCCCATGGTTTATTTTCATGGCAGCCAGGTAGGCTATACTCGTGTTGTAAATATAAACAATGTGCTTAATATTAGGAAAGTTGAGAAATAAATATAGTAGGCCTAGCCTATAGAAAGCTGATGGGATCCTCCTCTTTCTATTAGTGGCCATCACTCTGTTTTCTCCTGCAATTGCATAGTCTATAGCAGGGGTGTCAAACGTCCGGCCCGCGGGCCGGATCAGGCCCGCAAACGGGTTTAATCCGGCCCGCGAGATGATTTTGTAAAGTATAAAAATGCGCTGCCATTTTTCAATAAAATAAACTGCTGTTCCAATTGCGTCCACTGGATGGCGCAATAGCAATTGTGTTAAGCAAGCAAACTGTTTATACCGGGGCAGAGCAAGTAGGTCAAGTCTGTGTTTACTCACAGCCGAGACATCAGTGACGCTGCAGTGAAAGCTAGCTACCTCATTGCTAATGAAATCGCAGTGGCTTCAAAACCATTTAGTGAGGGTGAATTTGTAAAAACATGCATGATGAAGGCAGCGGAGATTGTGTGCCCTGAAAAGCGTCAGGCTTTTGTAAATATCAGCCTGACAAGAAACACAGTTGCAGACAGGATTTCCGATCTTTCAGTGGATTTGGACAGCCAGTTGAAGCAAAAAGTAAAGTCATTTATTGCGTTTTCGGTTGCAATTGATGAAAGCACGGACATTACAGATGTTGCACAACTGGCCATTTTCATCCGCGGAGTTGATGACACATTGACCGTCACCGAGGAGTTTGTGGAGTTGGTGCCGATGACAGATACAACGACAGCAGCTGATATTTTTACCGCACTCGTCGGCGCGCTGGACAGGGTCGGAGTGGACTGGTCCCGCGCTGTCAGCCTGGCTACAGATGGTGCGCCCTCAATGATCGGGAAAAAAACAGGTTGTTGTGACAAAGTTCAGAGAGAAAGTGCAATCTGCAAATGGAGGACGTGATTTTTTGACTTTTCACTGTATTTTGCACCAGGAGGCTTTGTGTTGCAAGTCATTAAAGATGGATAACGTCATGAAGGTGGTAATCCAAACTGTTAATTTCATCCGATCCAGAAGCCTGAATCACCGTCAGTTTGACAGCCTTCTCAGAGAGAAAGACCACATCTATGGCCTGCCATACCACACTGAGGTAAGATGGTTAAGCCGAGGTGCTGAGGCGTTTCTTTGATTTACGAGAAGAAATTGAACAGTTCATGGAAGAAAAGGGCAAACCAGTGTTAGAATTCCATTCCGCAGAATGGATGCAGGACCTTGCATTTATGGTGGAGGTTACAGAGCACCTGAATAACTTGAACAAACAGCTGCAAGGGCGCAACAAAGTTGTCACGCAGTATTATGACAGCATACGTTCTTTCAAGTTGAAGCTGTCATTGTGGGAGATGCAACTTGCCGGTGGTGATGCAGCTCACTTCCCCTGTCTGAAAAATGTGTGCGCGACCCAACATGTGGCAGACATGAAGCGGTTCAAAGATAAAATAACGGGACTGTTACGGGAGTTTGAGCAACGCTTTCAGATTTTTGGTGAACTGGAGAAAGACTTCAACGTTTTTTGCTCGCCATTCACCGTGAATCCCTTTGATCTGCCCGTCAGCATCCAACTTGAAATAATAGACTTGCAGTGTGACTCGGATTTGAAGGGCAAATTTGCCGCAGCTGGCTTGGACACATTTAATCAGAATCTCTTGCCAGGTTACCCCAACTTGACAGCCCTCGCTGCAAAACTGTTGTGCATGTTTGGAACCACATATCTTTGTGAGCAAGTTTTCTCTGTAATGAGCATAAATAAAACAAAGCTGCACTCAAGGCTCACGCACAAGCACTTGAATCACATCCTGAAGTTGGCTGCCACTCAGGATGTGACGCCTGATATTGATGCGCTGGTGAAAGCTAAAAGATGCTAGGTATCAGGAGTCAAATAAACTATGCAACCCCACTTAAAGTGCTACATGAGACACCCTGATATAGTTATGTGATCTGTGATATACTTCTGTGAATCACTGAGGCATTGTGTGTTTGTGTGTTCTTTGTCCTCAGAACTTTCAAATAACTTGAGGTGTTTTATGATTAATAGTGATGTTGTGCTTTTGGACACACTGTCCTCAGGCTCCAGCTTTATGTTTATATGTTTTTATGTTGATGTGCTATTGTTTTTAATTGATTTTATTTTATTTGTATATTTAACCTATTCTTGACTCTGTGGTTCTTGCACTTGTTTGGGGAACAGGATTTCATTCTTTTTATCTACATTTCTGCCTGAGAAATGACCCCCTGATATAGTTCTGTGATCTGTGAAACAGTTCTGTTAATCACTGAGGCATTGTGTGTTTGTGTTCTTTTTCTTTAGAATTTTCAAATAAACTTGACGTGTTTTATGATTAATAGTGATGTTGTGCTTGTACTATTTTGGACACACTGTCCTCAGGCTCCAGCTTTATGTTGTATGTTGATCGTATTAAAACAAAGAAAACAATCTGAAGTTGTTGTTTTTAAGTTATATATACCATGATTTTTCTGGTCCGGCCCACTTGGGAATACATTTTCCTCCATGTGGCCCCTGAGCTAAAATGAGTTTGACACCCCTGGTTTATAGAAATGTTGCGCAACATGAGCTCATGGGTTCTCATTAAGTGTTTGATTAGATTTTCGGAAACATTTGCATTGATGTCAGAGTGATTAGAGGGACAATAGAGTGCTGAGTACCAGGCAGTTAGCATGTTTGGTAGGCTACTAATGACCAGCAGCAGCATCAGAGCTTGGAGAAGCCTAATTACCATGACTAAACGGTCATGCGGAATTTGACTGTCTTCATGACGCGTGACCGCCGGTGTGGCAGTAATACGGTCACCGCAACAGCCCTAGGTCAAGCTTAGCCTCCACATAGCCTATATTATAATATAAAAGCACCTATGTCTATAAAGTGATGCCCCCAGGTAAGTCCGATGACACGCCCCGATTACCATCCCCTCACCCAATTGGTGGCTCTGTCTTCGACGTTACACCCCGGCGAGGGGTCTCTCATTTTATTGGCTCTACTCCAAGTCCTTCCTCCTGAATCAACGCCCCTTTGAACAGCCGGCTCTCTCGTTGCTCTGGAAACAGCCCGGTACCTGTGCACGTCATCAGCGCTGTTCTTCTGTGTGCTTCTCCTTTTCCCCATGCAGTGTGTAAATAAAGTTAATAGGCAGCCAAGATTAGGCTATTAGTCGACAGAGGTGGAAGTTAAGAGTGGTGCTGATTAATAACTGAATAACAATCAACTATATTATTGACTTGGTTTGTAAAATTACTACAATAAAACAAAAATATTAAAGTTATTTACAAACATATGAGAGAACATTTATTTAATGAGCAAAAGCAGAAAATGTAGACGTAATAAATGAGACAGCTGCAAGTATGAGGTAATATTGCCCCTTTATTGAGCACTAGAATGTATATATTACATTACATTACATAGCAGTATGGAATGTTTGACTAAAAATGTGTTGCCAGAATAAAGGAAAACAAAAATATAGTTGGACTATAGAAATGTAGTTGAGTTTGCCCTATTGTAGAGAAGGTAAATGTGTGCTTTCCTGGTGTTGCTGCAATGCTGCCATCTAGTGATAAATTGAATGAACATTCATGACTGAATGATGTATGAATAATAATAATAATAATATGCCATTTAGCAGACGCTTTTATCCAAAGCGACTTACAGTCATGCGTGCATACATTTTTGTGTGTGGGTGGTCCCGGGGATCGAACCCACTACCTTGGCGTTACAAGCGCCGTGCTCTACCAGCTGAGCTACAGAGGACCACTATGAACGTTTGTATACAATAATAACAATGGTAATATGAAATACAAATCTTAAATGAGAGAGAGAGATTAATGAAGAGATTCATGTAGGCTTTTTGTAGGCTTTCCTTTATGTTTTATGAGTACATGGTCAACTGAAGCCACTGCGGAGAAAGCAAAAGACAATAAGAGGTGTGGTTATTTAGGTCTAATTTCAGTGCCTATATCCAGTCATTCATCTTAAAAATGGTCCCTAACCCTAAACACACCATTTATATTCAAAGAGCAAATAGTGAAAACTAATTTACCTCCTTGATGTTGACTTTGATACTTCCATTATCATCTTTGTCCAGAGTCTTGAAAGCTCCTGAAAATGCACAAAACACTATTACTGAAGGGTAATGAAAAGAAAATAGTCTGAAATCAAGAACATAATCGGACTGAGCAGGGGAATATTGAGGATGAGTCACTTACGACACATGGCGTCCAGTCTCACCAGGCACCCAATGAAGTTGTCAAAGTCCATGTTGCCCTGTTCGTCACTGTACCTGCGGACGATCAACTGGAATAGTTGGTCGTTGAGAGGGAAGCCTGCACACGGACATAACAGAGGAGAGACACCAATGTGACCAAACACATATATGCAGGAACAAGCTAGCTTTCATCAGCTGTCATGGCTGTTTGTTGTCAATATTATGACACTGTTATAAGGGCCTTATGATGACAAAGAAATATGCAATTCCATGTTCCGGTTCTCATGATCTCTGAGCTCACCTGCAGCTCTGAAGGCAGCGGGAAGCTCTTGTGAGGAGATGATCCCTGAGCGGTCTGCGTCATTTGATATGTAGATGCCCTGAATCAGAGCGGAAATAAGGTTACACCGAGAGGTCAAAGTTCATAGCACCTTTTATTAAGAATGTATTAACATGACATTTATAAACAACATTCTTACAGTAGTGGAGTAAGAGGACTATTGGAAGTTGTAGGTGGTGTTTATGAATGCCTTGCAAATACATGTAAATCATTTATAGTTCAAGGCAAACGTTTTACAGAAATGTCCATGATGTAACACAATTATACAGTGCCGATTGTCAAAAATGTAACAAGAGGACTGAACTCACCTGCCATTTCTTGATGTTGTTCCATAAAAACTTGAACTCATGGAAACCTAGCTTTCCTGTGCTGTCGCTCTGTGTGTTCAGGGTTAAGGTAAAACTTAATATCAACTACTCTGATAGTAGTGTCAGCTTAGTATAGTATAGTATAGTATAGTGTAGTGTAGTGTAGTATAGTCTTCCATTCTAATACAGACACTGATGTGGAAGGATACGTCCATGACAGCCACCATGCTCCTGCATGACTCGATGCTAAAGCCGTCAGTCTTCAGGTCAGTACCTGAAATGAACACAGACAGACCACTCCTTCACTACAACACAGTAAACCATTCCATGGAACCAGTCTTGTGCTTAGACAGACTCCATTATGCGTGCAGCAGATGTCTAGATATGAGTAAAGTGTGTGTGTGTGTGTGTGTTTGAACAGAGAGTACATAGATACAAAAAGGCATGCATAGACATGCTCTTGAACATAAGGTTTATGCACACAGAGGTATAAATACTATAAGAATGCAATGACAAAGACAAGTATAGACACAAGCATGGTGTTTGTGTAAGAATAGGACTCACGTTTGCCAATGATCCTGTTGAGGATGTTCATCAGTTCAGTGGGGCTGACCTCCATGTCCTATAATACACAGATAGTAAATCTTCATACACTGCATATGCCTACATGTATTTGGGTCACAACTCAGCTCACAAAAGGATAAGGACACTGAGACTACTTTATCATTAAGTAATATATGATAAGTCATTTGCACAGATGGACCAAATACATTGTTTTCTCTGTATTTGTGTGTTTACGTGACATACTAGAACAACCAAAGTGATGCAAACAACTTTAAAACTTTCAGCAGATATATTTGCAGCAGGTATAGCTTTAGGTTTCATTCCGTATGAATCTTGTGTTCCCTCCCCTTATGAGTAAGGCTAGTTATCAGTTTAAAGTCAATCGTTGCTGTTGAGCCTACCAGTAGAACATGTATCCACCCCTATCTATGATTCACACAATCTACACTCCCCACCCACACAAAACTAACCAGAAAAGAGAGCCGCCCTGTCAGACAATGGTAGGAAACACATAGAGGAAGAACCAGTCCCTCTTCTTGTCCGTGTCAACAAACCACATCCCAAGCCTCTTACTTCACCACTACCTGATCCAACAGCAGTGAATCATTGTGAGCAACCAGGCACCCAATGAAGTTGTCAAAATCCATGTTGCCGTGTTCGTCACAGAAGGGGAATGTCTGTGGAGCCCTGGGCTTGATGACCATAACCAATGGGGCGGAATCAATGATTTAAGCCAACAGGAGTGCTTTACTGTACTCTTCCAGAAGGCTTCTATTGGTTGGCAGCAGTGCATGACGGACAGCACATTTGAAGCCTCAAATTCACCATGTCTGGGTAGATGGATGAACCACATTCTGAAGACTGGCTCCAGATGAAAGAGGGTGAATGGGTGGAGGGAGGGGTTTGGAATGCAAACCAGACTTAACTGGGATACAACAGGCGACAACAGGGTTTCACTGATTGTACCAGTGTACCATCAGCCAATAAATGAAATACCATCCTTGCCATGAATAGTTGGCTGCACCTACAAAATATATCCTTGTGGAACCCCACATAATGAAACAGCCTCTCTAAACCATTCAACAAGAGGCCTGATTATACAATGACACACTTATTGTACTGGATTTGATGGCCGAAAGCCTAAGATGAACTTCTCTGAACAGGATAGGAAAGGACAGTAGGTTCGGAGGTGAATAGGATAAGATATGAGAGTAGTAGAAGTGCATAAGTTGAAAAACAATAAGTACTTACATCCCCAGCGAGTTGCTGGAACACCTTGCGGAACTGTCTCTCCTCGTCATTCTCATTCTGCTCCGCGTAGGCCAGAGGTCTGCGTGGTGGGGGCTAGGACACAAACACAGACCAGGTTCTGTTAACACTAACACTCACAGCCCTCTTCACTGCAGTCTGGCATGCAGGCCAACAACAGTTGTGGCTCATTTGCTTAAAAGAGTAGTGTTTACTTCTAAAACGTTCCAGTCTGCAGTGAGGGCACTATCATAAGACTATTATGATGTTCTGAAATTGTTATAAAGGAAAATGGGTGCTAAAAGGTTAACTCACAGGATCTGATGGCACAAATTGACCAGGGTCGATGTTGCTGTTGGAGAAAACCAGAAGGAGCTATTACTATTTAATAAATACTGAGTGTGCAAAGTCCTGAATGAAGTCAGTATACTGACAGTGTCTGTGTGTGTGTGTGGACGTGTTTAACTATTCTTGTGGGGACCAGAAATCCCCACAAGAATAGACAACAAAAAATTTTTTCACCAACTGGGGAAATTTTGTTAATCCCCATGAGGTCAAATGCTATTTCTAAGGGGTTTAGGGTTAAGGTTAGAATTAGTGTTAGGGTTAGAATTACGTTAAGGTTTACAGTTAGGAGCTAGGGTTAGTTTTAGGGTTAGGATTAAGGTTATGTTTTTGGGTTAAGGTTAGGGTTAGGGTAAGGGTAAGGGTAAGAGTACGGGTTAGCTTTAGGGTTAGGAGTTAGGGAAAATATGATTTTGAATGGGACTGAATTGTGTGTCCCCACAAGGTTAGCTGTACATGACTATGTGTGAGTGTGAGTGTGAGTGTGTGTGTGTGTGTGTGTGTGTGTGTGTGTGTGTGTGTGTGTGTGTGTGTGTGTGTGTGTGTGTGTGTGTGTGTGAATGTATGTGTCAAAAAGAGGCCAGGCCTACCTTACAACATCCAGGATGCCACCAATGAGTCTTTTGGCCAGAAACATCTTTATGAGGGACAGAGGTGAAAATCTACAAAAGGAGTCAAGAGAGAAAAAATGATATGAGTTCGATCATCAAACATCTGATCGATTTAACAAAAAGGCGACAACAAAAATGCGACAGAGAGAAAAAGCAAACCATAATCAATTATGTCCGCCTGTAATAAATGTGTTATTAGTGTTGGGGCTCCCTCTGAAAACTTTGCTCCCTGGCCTGTATTGGTAAGCAGCACAAACAGCAGATGTCAAAAGTGACGAAGAAGACAAAACAAATCAACGTGAAACAGTCAGATAAACTTGTGAAGGCAATCTGATTGCCTTAAATTGAGAATAATACTTACAGCGACCAATGCGTAGCTGAAGTCGGTAGACTGAAGTGATGGCACTCCTATTTGGTACAAATCCAGTTTTACAAGGAGTTATTTTTCAACGCATCAGAGCTTCACACCCCTGCCCAGTAGAGAAGTGCGCAACATAGGGAGAGACAGGACGGGAATGACTCTGGGTCCTATAACCCGTAGGACTATGTCAAGAATGACTGGCATTTCCCTATTGATGATGTTACGGATGATGAGACTTATTCTGAAAATCTATTTGCATAACCTACAAATTGCATGCAATGTAGATGTCTGAAACGTGGGGGAACGTTTGAAAAAGAAGAAGCTACACCGTGTGAACTTGTCATTCTCCTTCCCCAGTTGAAAACGTTTTCTCCCGTTTGTTGTCCATGGAATACCGCCTACATTGTGATGTCAGACCAAGGACCCAAGCAGGAAGCAGGAGCGCTCGCGAAGTTGTCGCTGTGGCTGCTTTCTGGTACAAATGGCGAGCGCCATGAAAACATGGTTATTGACGGGAGACTTGACAAAAGTGCTATTCTTATTAATTTGTATTCACTTTACACGCCCGTTAAATGCAGTGTCAGAGCCGGGTAAATGGACCTTAAACGTCAACAGTGTAAGTTGCCTTGTCTTGTGCGTATAGTATTTTTGCTATCAAAGCATCATAGGTAGCCTAGATAGGCTATGATATCTTGTTAAGAACATTGTTTAGTTCAGCCAGATTAATATATTTCAACAGTTGATATACTGTCGCAGTCTACAGAAGGAGGCATTGAGACAATACTTGCCTTAGTTTTACGCACCATGCACGGTTCTGGCGACAATGTAATTACAACATTGTAACCGCTTCCACTGTATTATAAACAATGTAACACTATCATTCTCCCATTGATCAGGCTGTCCAAATTATCCTTATTATTTTACCCTATCAGTGCTAGTCAATATGGGGTTGTTTCACGAATAGTCAATACAAGTAATAAACAGTAAGCGATCTGATCCATTCATTCATAGACTTCCTGCCCCTGGGCAAATGTTGAATCTTGGCTCACCATCATGCCTACCTACATTCCATAATAAAATATTCAGCTATTTTGTTAAGATCATTTAAAACCCATCAGTTTTTTTTTTATCAGAATATTGACAATCTAAATGTTGTCAAAATCTATTGCAGTAACCATATGTTTGACATTTTCTCAACGCTTGTGTTACAGGACACTTTGAAGAAGCAGAGCTTTTTCCTCTTCACCAAGACAATGTTTAACAATACTGTTATTCAGCTGAATTGTAAGTAGGCTATAACCTCTCTTATGTTTCTGCAAGTGAGGATAAAACTCAGTTATTTACTGAACCTTGTAGAATATTATATAGCAGCAACATGATTGCCCCTTCCTCTGACTAGTATTGTAGGATGGTGTACGGGTTGGTGTGAGGTGTGACCCAGGAGTGGTGCAGGATAGACAGTAGGCAGTAGGCAAGGTTGGTGAAACAAGGATCTTTACTGATGGTCCAAAAGCCAGGATACAAAACAACAGACTATACACGAAAACAAATGAGGAGCACATAGGTCTCCAAAAAACAGGCTAACAACAAACAATACAAAATACTAACTCTGACTGGAAAAACACAATGATACAGGGAGAACACTTCCCGAGTACCTGTAACTCAGTCACGTCACGTGATCCGACACTGATACGTACTGCTTGACATCAAGGAACTAGCAGAAAACTGAGCAAGGGAACACAGGGAAGTGAGGGCATAAATACACAGGTGAATCAGATAGACACAGGTGACACCAATAGGCAGATAATTAGTCCCGACTGTGAGTGAGGAGGTGCCTATGGTTGTCGGAGGATGACACCTAGTGGGTCGCTCCGGAACTGCGACCCACTCCTGTAACAGTGCCACGCCTCTTACTAAACACCTCCCCCAGATCCCAATACTCCTGGGGAAGAGGTGAGGACTGGTAGGTGGTCTCGGATGGTGGTTTAGGCTGATGAGTGGTCGGTGGTGACCGGAATAGGACAGGGGCGGTGCCTCCCTCCAGGATGAGCCGCCCCATGGACCTGTCTATCCGGGGGTTGTGGGCGGCCAGCCAGGGGTGCCCGAGGATGAGCGGACACTCCGGAGAGTCCACAATGAAAAACTGGATATACTCCTATACTCCCAACGGCCGGCCGTCCAGGCCCATGACTGGAACCGGCTCAGAGAGAGAGAGTAACGAGTAACAGAACGCTCCACCCTTGGGCCAGCCCCGCATCCATCAGGTTTCCCGCGGCCCCAGAATCCACCAGTGCATGCTTCTGACGCGCAGCGCGGGCCCACTGTACCCTGACGGGGAGAAAAGTCTGGGAGTCTCTGGAGTTGTGGTTTTGGTTCCGGCTCGCTGGCACCCCTCCCGATACTAGCGAGCCCTCCCGTTTTCCCGGCTTCTCTGGCCATGTGTTGCCATGGTGACCTGCGTGGCCGCAGTACCGGCAACGTCCCTGGGGCAGACGCCTCTGCCTCTCCATCCGGGACGAGCGCGCCGCACCCAGCTGCATAGCCTTCTCCTGAGGTGTCTCCTCCCTGAATCGGCGGAAAGCCGCTATGATACTGTGCTGCCTCCGCTGGATCCATATTGGCTGAGTTTTCTAGTGGATCGCTCCGGAACTGCGACCCACTCCTGTAACAGGATGGTATACTGTCAATGCAGGATATTTGTATGATAGCATTACTGTATACAATAAGCTACTTTATTGTGTATACAGTAAGAGTATGGGAAAACCTGTTGGGGGAGGAAGTAGTAGGGGAGGAAGTAGTAGGGGAGGAAGTAGTAGGGGTGGAAGTAGTAGGGGAGGAAGTAGTAGCTCTGTGACTAAGTTGTTTGCTGACTTAGACGTCTGCTGTTTCAGGGTTGATGGAACACTGTGACCCTCCGGTAAAACTCAACATCTCCTGGTACCTAAGGAGCTCCCGCTGCTTCGACGAGGTGTTTGGTCTCGACGTGAGTTCCTCTCTCTCATTTGGAAACTAACTGAATGGGCTCATTCACGCTGGACTAACTGTACCTGTTGTATTCCATAAACTCTCCAGTATTTCCTTTTTTCAGCTAGTTTCTTGTTCTCAATTTAACAACAGGCAATGCAAGATTTAGGGTCTCGATAAGGTTCGCAGTGTCATTCATGTTTTATGACTGCATAGACAGTGTGGTTTGTGCAAATACTTATTAACTTACTTATTAACTTTATCATACCTGTTTGATTTGCAGCCTCTGAAGGCAGGGAGCTACTTCAGGACGACAGCTGTGAAGCAGGAAGGAGGCAGTGGGTTCTATGTGTTCCATCAGCACCCTGCCATTGAGTGCAAACAGCACATGACCCGCAGTGAGGTACAGTATGTGGCAATGGAGGGTCTCATAAGAAAGCAGGGTAGCACTTTATTTTACGGTACCTTACAGAAATTATTCCGGCATTTACATGGTCAAATGTTAATTACACAGTAATGCTAGATTCTACAGCTACACCATATAATGCAATATTCAGAGATACACGTCTGGTTTTGTGAGATTTATAACACAGCAACACCTATGCATTACTTATTTGTTTCTAAAAAAGAGAACTTTGCTAGTAGCTAACTTCTTATTATATGACAGGTAGAACCAGTGGAATCAGCACAGTGAAATAAAGTGCGGAAAAAAGCGTACTGCAAACAACACAACGGTGAAACAAATACCACAACCTGATATGTTCCACCTCGCTCGTTCATGTTGTCTTCCTGAGTTTGTTTGTTCACTAAATTGCGACCTAAATATAGCAGCTCGTAACTGATCATTAGGAAGGGCTTGTAATTCTGAATACGTGTTTTCGTACAGCGCAGCTCATGGCGAGGCAATGTTATGGAGGTGTTCATGAGGTATCATTGTCTAATGGTTGCTACTCTGGTTTGTTTTCTGGAACAGTTCTTTCTCAACAAATTTGAGGAGCCGACTAGGCTTACTGAGCCAGTTCAAGAACAGGTGAGTGGGCTAAAGCAAACAGGTTTAGCATACAAATCCTTCTATATACATCAACTTTTTATTATAGATTAGATACACATGACCTGTTTTGTTTGAGAAGTTCACAATAGAGCATGCAGGTGCATATAGTAACACAGTAATTCACCAAGGTGTCATCGGAATGACTGTCTCTATCCCCTGTTTTAGCCTGTCACTTACAAGGACCAAGGGATGAGGAAAAGGAGCGCTGAGGATCCAAAGGAGGTAAATCAACAACTCAAACACCCTCTGATATCATAACCAAATATATGCAAAATGTATATAAGTGTAGATTCATGTGAATAAGGCGATTGGGTCCTGTGATTCCCAGCCTAGCAACAGACCTCCATATCAGGGAAATCAGCTTAATCATTATAATTTCTCTCCTTTAGGCGGTTGCTGTCAAAGCAGAGGCAGCTGTGGCCACAGGGAAAGCCCCAGCCCCAGCTGCAAATAAAGAAGTGGTGAGCGTTTCCTTGTCCCCTAAGAACCATGTCTGAATGAAGATATGTATGGTGTACATACATGTTGGCTAAACAAACAGTGTGCCAGGATATTGATACACTAACACACTGTTTCTTTAATTGCCATTCTTAATTTCTTGTACCGCAGGGAAAACCTTTGTTCAGCTAGCTATTTCCTAATGCCTGGTTCTCTTAGACATAGAGATCCTATAATGTAACTCTACGCTCCTAGACACCCCAGCATCACTTTGATGCAGATGCTCAGACCTGGGAGGATGGCCCTTACATGTTCATCATCCACATCCAAGAGATCAAGGAGAAGAGCAGCACCGCCACTGACTCTGTCCCACCACAGAACTGGGTCATCCAACGTAAGGAGCTCCACCACTCACATGAAACCTGGGTGCAATATATTAAAACTACATTATCTAATAGGCTAATATAACTGTTATGTCCTTCACCCCCTGCAGTGGAAGTCAGTATGAAGGGACCCCATGACTACATCTCAGCTTCAGAATGGCCTCTTATGATCGTAAGTCAATTCTGCCATGATAAGTTGTGTACGGAAAACACTCTACACTATAGCTTCATTACATGTAGTATAATAAATACAAATAGCTTCTAAGGTGTGTGCCTTTAGGACATGCTCTCTATCTTATCAGACAATACAGACTCTAGTTCCTTGCCAGCTCAACTAACTGTCCCTTTTTCAGTTCTACATGGTGATGTGTGTCATCTATGTGTTACTGGGCCTGCTATGGCTGGGGCTGTCCGCCTGCTACTGGAGAGAGCTGCTGAGGATCCAGTTCTGGATCGGCGGGGTCATCTTCCTGGGCATGCTGGAGAAGGCTGTGTACTACGCCGAATTCCAGAGCATCCGCTACGACGGACTCTCAGGTCAGGAGGAGAGAGACACACCCTTACAGAAAAACCACGTGAAATTCATGTGTTTTTTTTCGTAAGGGCAGAAACACGTCTTTGTCTGTAATGGGTATTTTAAGGGATTCCACGTGTGTTTAAGTAGTAATTTTTGGTGGACACCCCTAAACAAAAATCTTTGGCCACTTTTGTTTTTCTACCTAAATCCTCCTGGTGGGCAAGGTTGGAATTGGGTAAGAGATAGTTGATCCTAGTGTTGTGCTAAAAGTGCTGTTGTACTCCATTAATAGGCTTTATTTGTGTGCTGTGTCCTCCAACAGTCCAGGGGGCAGTAGTGTTTGCGGAGGTCCTATCAGCAGTGAAGAGGACCCTGGCCCGTGTTCTTGTCATCATCGCTAGTCTTGGTTATGGAATTGTCAAGTGAGTCACTCCTTTCATAACAGGTCACAGTATGAAAATGTATGCACTCACTAACTGTAAGTCGCTCTGGATAAGAGCGTCTGCTAAATGACTAAAATGTCAAATGTAAAATGTGAAGACTGCCAATTCTGTCTCTCTTTGTCTCTCTCTCTCTCTCTTCTCTTTCACTCTCTCTTTCTCTCTCGCCGTCTATGTCTGTCTGTCTCTCTCTTGCTCTCTCTGCCTGCCTGCCTGCCAGTCACTCTCTCTCTCTCTCTCTCTCTCTCCCTAGGCCAAGGCTTGGTGCATTGTTACACAGGGTGGTCGGGGTGGGACTGCTCTACCTTATATTCTCCGTTGTCGAGGGAATCCTGAGGGTCAATTCGGTAAGTCTGGTCTCTCCCTTCTGATCAATATACTACCTCGGTATTCCCAAAAATACACAGTCTACCTGCAGTATCTGTAACTAGACTATTAAACCATGTTGATACATTTTCGATATGGAACTAAACCAAGCAATGCCATGATGCTCTTTGTTGAATATCTTCATCTTTGGTCAAAGGATGCCAGGAATCTTGTGTGTGTAGTAGTATTGCCATTCCACTGTCAGTGTTTACCTATCTTTCTCACAGGGACAAGTGGACAGTAGCAGACTACTGTGTGACATTGTTCTGGCGTTCACTGACTCGTGCATTGTGTGGTGGATATCCTTTTGGAGTGGTCAGCCATTACCGGAGGCCATGAGTCTGCCTGTTTGCCAGTCAGCTAGTTAGTCTAGTAGTCACTGTATGCAGTTAGTCTGTCAGTATTAAGATCTATTTTTTCACAGACTCGTTTTTTTCTCCCTCTGGGCATGCTTGTATTTCCAAAGCTTACTCAGATCTCTTCCTTCCTTTTACCAGTGTCTCTCATTACTTCTCAAACAAGTTTGATTCCAACCCTCTGAGTGGCAGTTTGGTTCTACACAGGTCCTTTCGTGTGTGTATCTATCTGCATGGCTGCCTGAAGAGTATGTGATGGTATTCCCTTCCTCCCTCCCTCCCTCCCTCCCTCCCTCCCTCCCTCCCTCCCTCCCTCCCTCCCTCCCTCCCTCCGTCCCTCTGTCCCTCCCTCCCTCCCTCCCTCCCTCCCTCCCTCCCTCCCTCCCTCCCTCCCTCCCTCCCTCCCTCCCCTCCCTCCCTCCCTCCCTCCCTCCCTCCCTCCCTCCCTCCCTCCCTCCCTCCCTCCCTCCCTCCCTCCCTCCCTCCCTCCCTCCCTCCCTCCCTCCCTCCCTCCCTCCCTCCCTCCGTCCCTCTGTCCCTCCCTCCCTCCCTCCCTCCGTCCCTCTCTCCCTCCCTCCCTCCCTCCCTCCCTCCCTCCCTCCCTCCCTCCCTCCCTCCCTCCCTCCCTCCCTCCCTCCCTCCCTCCCTCCCTCCCTCCCTCCCTCCCTCCCTCTCTCTGTCCCTCCCTCCCTGCCTCTGTCACTCCCTCCCTCCCTTTCTGCTGCCCCTATGTGTGTGTCCGTTCCCCTCTCTGTCCCTTCCAGGCTGAAGATGATCTGGTGCTGCTGACTGCCATTCCTTTGGCTGTGCTCGACTCTACCCTCTGCTGGTGGATATCCTGTACTGTAACTCTCTGCAATTCTCTCTTTCTCTTCCAATCTCCCTCCCCCTCTGCCTTACTCTCCCAACACTCTCACTTCTTGCAATCCCTGTGTGCGGCAGGGCCTTGGTGGTGGTGTTAACCCTTCTCCCTCTATTTTCACCTGCCTTCGCCTTTGTCTCAGAGAAGGGAATAACCCAGAAGGGAATATTTCCTGAAAATATGCTCTGCCTCACAAAGACTAATTTAGACATCAGAGGGAGCCATAGTCCCATGGATTAATTACATTTTTAATTACAGGGCCACTTATATCAAGGCTATATCAAGGCTATCAATAACTTCATTTAGAAGAGCTCGGAGGCACTGCTGACTATTGACAAATGCCTTATTTTATTCTTACGGATGGTCCTATTTTTTCTCCTGCAGTTTGACAGAACAGTATTTTAGTGGATTCAGTTAGTTGACCAGTTAGCCAGAAAACCAGTTAGTATAGTGATGACTAAGATCATACCAGGTTTTTCAGCCGTGCTTAACCTGGCCATGGAGGGCAGAAGGGAGCTCAACTCCTCCTGTGTAATGAGATAATGACTGAAAGCCCTCAGACACTTACACCCTTACGACCTGATTAGCTTGGGGTTACGTTAGGGCATATCAGCTCGGTTGAGGTAGGCAAACTCTTCTGTGTTGGTTATGTTGACAGTCAATGGAGGAAGACTGGTATTATTGGGTAAGCTGTTTCTGTTGAGAATTGTATTTCAACGGTGGGCTGTTGTTAGTGAGCTGTTGTTAGCGGGGTGTGTCCTGGGGTTATGTTGGAGTCCTTGACAGCCAGTCACATCTTTATCAGCCTGGCCCAGACCATGAAGCTCCTTCGCCTCCGAAGAAACGTGGTCAAGCTCTCCCTGTATCGCCACTTTACCAACACCCTCATATTCGCCGTTATTGGTGAGGAGCTGTCTGCGGCTGTGCTACTGCAACCACTCAACAGAGACATTTCAAACATAGTGTTCTATACACCATGGTGTGCCATGATTACAAGCATTCACTAATGTATTTGGCCTGTCACTGTTTTACTCTGCAGTCTCAGTCATTTTCATTATCTGGACGACAAAGACCTTCAAGTTTTCAAAGTGTCAGTCGGTGAGTAGTGTTTGTTTACTACGTTACGTAATAAGCCATGTACATTCATACAGTTTCTTGACTTTGTCCAGCTCGCTAACAATCACCGAAATGAAAGCGAGACAGTCAGGGAACATCGAAAATAATGTTTTCTTGCAAATTTTGATGGCGAGGAAATATAACCAATTTTCAATGCGTCCCTCTGGACCTCGTTGAAGACCGAATGCGGCCCCTTTAGCGAGTTGATGTCAAATCCGAGTGGCTAGCACAAGCACACATACACAGTTGACCTCTAATGAACTGGTATTTGGCATTAGGTAGTTCATCTTTCTCATACTCTTCCTCTCCCCTGTCTCTCTCTTATTCACTCTCTCTGTGTATCTCTCTAGGACTGGAGGGAGCTGTGGATAGACAATGCGTTCTGGCGGTTCCTCTTCTCCACCATCCTTCTGGTCATCATGTTCCTGTGGAGGCCGTCTGCCAACAACCAGAGGTAAGAGGTCACGGCTAAACAGTTCAACATATCAACACACGGCCAAAACCCTCTCAACCCTCTCACAAACCAAAGTCATGTTTGATTTTTAATCTAGGGATTAGGGTACTGGCTAGGATCCTTCAGTATGTCACCAGAGACATCTGTGGCAAAGTTAGGGTCAATTCAGGACATAACATTGCACTTGTATGGAGAAATCCCATGTCCAAACCAACTCAAATGAATTGAGATGGAGTTGAGCCCAAGTTGGCCATGTTCAGTAGCCAAATGTTGTTGAACGTTGCCGATAGAAATTCCATGAATAGAGCCGCCGTGATTCCTTATTCAGTATGTCAGAGAAGAATGTTTGTTGTACATAGCATATTTCTATCTGAACGTTCCACAATGTTGTGTCCTGGCCTTAGATACGCCTTCAGCCCCCTAGTGGATGAGGAGAGTGACGACGAGGCAAAGGAACAGCTGATGAATGATGCATTTGGTAAGAGTCACTGCTGTAGGTCTGATTTCATTATTATTGAAACAGAATACAAGTGGGAAATATAAAGATCCAGTCCATTAAAAAAATTGGAGGCACCTTACACTTCAGTGTTGTGATGCAAAAATTCGAGCAAATAGTATAGCGCATATAATTAAAAAGGTATTGTCGGACATTATTAATTCTAATCAGACAGGTTTTTTACATGGACGATACATTGGAGATAATATAGGGCAAGTTCTGGAAACAATAGAACACTATGAAAAATCTGGGAAACCAGACCTGCTATTCATAGCAGAGTTTATATATAAATGCCTGGAGCGTTTCAATTTTGGAGAATCTCTTATAAAAAGGGTTAAAATCATGTATAGTAACCCTAGGTGTAAAATAGTAAATAATGGCTATTTCTCCGAAAGTTTTAAACTGTCAGGAGGAGTAAAAGCGTGGTCCTCTGTAGCTCAGCTGGTAGAGCACGGCGCTTGTAACGCCAAGGTAGTGGGTTCGATCCCCGGGACCACCCATACACAAAAATGTATGCACGCATGACTGTAAGTCGCTTTGGATAAAAGCGTCTGCTAAATGGCATATTATTATTATTATTATTATTAAAACAAGGTTGTCCACTATCGGCATATCTATTTATAATGGCCATCGAAATGTTAGATATTAAAATCAGATCCAACAATAACATCAAGGGATTAGAAATCCAGGGCTTAAAAACAAAGTTGTCATTGTACGCTGATGATTCATGTTTTCTTTTAAATACACAACTTGAATCCCTCCACAGCCTCATAGAGGATCTAGATAAATTTTCTAACCTCTCTGGATTACAACCAAATTATGATAAATGTACTATATTACATATTGGATCACTAAAAAATACAATATTTATATTACCATGTAGTTTACCAATAAAATGGTCTGATGGTGATGTGGATATACTCGGAATACATATTCCAAATTAAATAAATGATCTCACTACAATACACTACAACTACAATACATTTTAATAGAAAGTTAGCAAAAATAGATAAGATCTTGCTACCATGGAAAGGTAAATACCTGTCTATTTGTGGAAAAATCACCCTGATTAACTCTTTAGTATTATCCCAGTTTACCTATTTGCTTATGGTCTTGCCTACGCCTAGCGAACAGTTTTTTAAATTATATGAGAAAAAAAAATTCAATTTGATTTGGAACGGCAAGCCAGACAAAATTAAATGGGCCTATTTATATGATGAATATGAATTCGGAGGACAGAAATGATTAAATATTAACTTATTAGACCTATCACTAAAAGCTTCAGTCATACAAAAGTTATGGCCTCCCGAGTGGCACAGTGGTCTAAGGCACTGCATCGCAGTGCTAGCTGTGCCACTAGAGATCCTGGTTCGTATCCAGGCTCTGTCGTTGCCGGCCGCGACCGGGAGACCCATGGGGTGGCGCACAATTGTCGTCCAGGGTAGGGGAGGGAATGGCCGGCAGGGATGTAGCTCAGTTGGTAGAGCATGGCGTTTGCAACGCCAGGGTTGTGGGTTCGATTCCCACGGGGGGCCAGTATGAAAAATAATGTACGCACTCACTAACTGTAAGTCGCTCTGGATAAGAGCGTCTGCTAAATGACTAAAATGTAAATGTAAAATGTTATACTTAAATCCGAACTGGTTCTCTAGCAAATTAGTAAGATTGTCTCACCCCATGTTCAAGGATGGCCTTTTTCCCTTTATTCAGATTACAACCTCTCACTTTCAGTTATTTGAAAAGGAAATAATCTCCCAAATATCACTATTTCTAAAACAAGCCATAGAATTTCAATTTAATCCTCCAGAAACGACAGAACAAATAATGCAACAAATATTGTGGTTAAACTCAAATATACTAATTGATAAAAAGCCAGTATATTTTTATAAATTAAAAAAAAAAAAAAGTATAATCTTCATAAATGATATCATAGGGAGGACTGGTGGAGTTATGTCACACATGCAGCTAACAAAAACATATGGAAATGTCTGCTCTACCCAAAATTACAACCAAATAATTGCAGCATTACCGCAACAATGGAAGAGGAACGTGGAAGGGGGAAAAAGTAAGGAACTTGTCTGTCGGCCCTGCATTAAAGAACATAATTGGTTAAAGAAAATTGTGATAAATAAAAAAGTATACCAGTTTCATTTAAGGACCAAAGGATTGACAGCCGTCCCATATAGATTGCAAAATAGTTGGGAAGAGATTTTTGTCGTACCGATTCCATGGCATAGTGTTTCAAAGCTTAGAATTGTTCATTTTAAATTATTATACAAAATTCTTGCTACCAATAGAATGTTATTTGTATGGGGGATAAAATCTTCCCAGCTCTGCAGATTTTGCTGCGAAGAGACAGAATCATTAGATCATTTGTTTTGGTACTGTCCATTTGTGGCTTGTTTTTGGTCACAGGTCCAGGAATGGCTGAAGGATTGCAATATTTACCTGGAGCTAACCCTGCAGATAGCACTACTGGGTGATCTGAAAAGTCATAGTCAATCGATCAATAATATAATAATACTTTTAGCAAAAATGTTTATTTTCAATGTACAATCTGTAGAAACAATGAGAATAGAAGGGTTCAGAACTTTAATGAAACATCACAGTACAGTTGAAAAATATATGGCAAATAGAAATCCAATATGGATAGTGAGATAGATAGATTGGAGGTGTTGAATGGAGCTGAAGGATGGGACTAATAACAACTAACAACAACTAATAACAGCAAGATAACTAATGTAGGGTATGCTGTGTCCATAATAAGTATATATGTTATAGGTTGAGAGCTTTTGTGAAGGAGCACAGTTGGAGAAATATGGCATATAGAAGCAAAAAGGATGGACATCATGAAAACGATCGGAGAGGTTGAGGGTAGAGGAAGTTCAGGAGTAAAAACGAACAAAATATAATTATTGTAAAATTGACTGTGTCCATAGAATGTATATAGTATGTATAAGCTGGAAGTAGAGGCCTAAGCGTTGTTGTTCACATTACTCCAATTAGGGAAGGGGTGGTGGGGTTGGAAAGTAATAAAGGGAAATATATTTTTTTAAAGGATATGTGTATATACAGTGGGGAGAACAAGTATTTGATACACTGCCGATTTTGCAGGTTTTCCTACTTACAAAGCATGTAGAGATCTGTAATTTTTATCATAGGTACAGTGGGGGGAAAAAAGTATTTAGTCAGCCACCAATTGTGCAAGTTCTCCCACTTAAAAAGATGAGAGAGGCCTGTAATTTTCATCATAGGTACACGTCAACTATGACAGACAAAATGAGAAAACAAATTCCAGAAAATCACATTGTAGGATTTTTAATGAATTTATTTGCAAATTATGGTGGAAAATAAGTATTTGGTCAATAACAAAAGTTTCTCAATACTTTGTTATATACCCTTTGTTGGCAATGACACAGGTCAAACGTTTTCTGTAAGTCTTCACAAGGTTTTCACACACTGTTGCTGGTATTTTGGCCCATTCCTCCATGCAGATCTCCTCTAGAGTAGTGATGTTTTGGGGCTGCCGCTGGGCAACACGGACTTTCAACTCCCTCCAAAGATTTTCTATGGGGATGAGATCTGGAGACTGGCTAGGCCACTCCAGGACCTTGAAATGCTTCTTACGAAGCCACTCCTTCGTTGCCCGGGCGGTGTGTTTGGGATCATTGTCATGCTGAAAGACCCAGCCACGTTTCATCTTCAATGCTCTTGCTGATGGAAGGAGGTTTTCACTCAAAATCTCATGATACATGGCCCCATTCATTCTTTCCTTTACACGGATCAGTCGTCCTGGTCCCTTTGCAGAAAAACAGCCCCAAAGCATGATGTTTCCACCCCCATGCTTCACAGTAGGTATGGTGTTCTTTGGATGCAACTCAGCATTCTTTGTCGTCCAAACACGACGAGTTGAGTTTTTACCAAAAAGTTATATTTTGGTTTCATCTGACCATATGACATTCTCCCAATCCTCTTCTGGATCATCCAAATGCACTCTAGCAAACTTCAGACGGGCCTGGACATGTACTGGCTTAAGCAGGGGGACACGTCTGGCACTGCAGGATTTGAGTCCCTGGCGGCGTAGTGTGTTACTGATGGTAGGCTTTGTTACTTTGGTCCCAGCTCTCTGCAGGTCATTCACTAGGTCCCCCCGTGTGGTTCTGGGATTTTTGCTCACCGTTCTTGTGATCATTTTGACCCCACAGGGTGAGATCTTGCGTGGAGCCCCAGATCGAGGGAGATTATCAGTGGTCTTGTATGTCTTCCATTTCCTAATAATTGCTCCCACAGTTGATTTCTTCAAACCAAGCTGCTTACCTATTGCAGATTCAGTCTTCCCAGCCTGGTGCAGGTTTACAATTTTGTTTCTGGTGTCATTTGACAGCTCTTTGATCTTGGCCATAGTGGAGTTTGGAGTGTGACTGTTTGAGGTTGTGGACAGGTGTCTTTTATACTGATAACAAGTTCAAACAGGTGCCATTAATACAGTTAACGAGTGGAGGTCAGAGGAGCCTCTTAAAGAAGAATTTACAGGTCTGTGAGAGCCAGAAATCTTGCTTGTTTGTAGGTGACCAAATACTTATTTTCCACCATAATTTGCAAATAAATTCATAAAAAATCCTACAATGTGATTTTCTGTATTTTTTTTTCTCAATTTGTCTGTCATAGTTGATGTGTACCTATGATGAAAATTACAGGCCTCTTTCATCTTTTTAAGTGGGGGAACTTGCACAATTGGTGGCTGACTAAATACTTTTTTTCCCCACTGTACACTTCAACTGTGAGAGACGGAATCTAAAACAAAATTCCAGAAAATCACATTGTATGATTTCTAAGTAATTCATTTGCATTTTATTGCATGACATAAGTATTTGATACATCAGAAAAGCTGAACTTAATATTTGGTACAGAAACCTTTGTTTGCAATTACAGAGATCATACGTTTACCAAAGATTTTCTATTGGGTTCAGGTCTGGAGACTGGCTAGGCCACTCCAGGACCTTGAGATGCTTCTTACGGAGCCACTCATTAGTTGCCCTGGCTGTGTGTTTCGGGTCGTTGTCATGCTGGAACAACCAGCCACGACCCATCTTCAATGCTCTTACTGAGGGAAGGAGGTTGTTGGCCAAGATCTCGCGATACATGGCCCCATCCATCCTCCCCTCAATACGGTGCAGTCGTCCTGTCCCCTTTGCAGAAAAGCATCCCCAAAGAATGATGTTTCCACCTCCATGCTTCACAGTTGGGATGGTGTTCTTGGGGTTGTACTCATCCTTCTTCTTCCTCCAAACACGGCGAGTGGAGTTTAGACCAAAAAGCTCTATTTTTGTCTCATCAGACCACATGACCTTCTCCCATTCCTCCTCTGGATCATCCAGATGGTCATTGGCAAACTTCAGACGGGCCTGGACATGCGCTGGCTTGAGCAGGGGGACCTTGCGTGCGCTGCAGGATTTTAATCCATGACGGCATAGTGTGTTACTAATGGTTTTCTTTGAGACTGTGGTCCCAGCTCTCTTCAGGTCATTGACCAGGTCCTGCCGTGTAGTTCTGGGCTGATCCCTCACTTTCCTCATGATCATTGATGCCCCACGAGGTGAGATCTTGCATGGAGCCCCAGACCAAGGGTGATTGACTGTCATCTTGAACTTCTTCCATTTTCTAATAATTGCGCCAACAGTTGTTGCCTTCTCACCAAGCTGCTTGCCTATTGTCCTGTAGCCCATCCCAGCCTTGTGCAGGTCTACAATTTTATCCCTGATGTCCTTACACAGCTCTCTGGTCTTGGCCATTGTGGAGAGGTTGGAGTCTGTTTGATTGAGTGTGTGGACAGGTGTCTTTTATACAGGTAACGAGTTCAAACAGGTGCCGTTAATACAGGTAATGAGTGGAGAACAGGAGGGCTTCTTAAAGAAAAACTAACAAGTCTGTGAGAGCCAGAATTCTTACTGGTTGGTAGGTGATCAAATACTTATGTCATGCAATAAAATGCAAATTAATTACTTAAAAATCATACAATGTGATTTTCTGGATTTTTGTTTTTTAGATTCTGTCTCTCACAGTTGAAGTGTACCTATGATAAAAATTACAGACCTCTACATGCTTTGTAAGTAGGAAAACCTGCAAAATCGGCAGTGTATCAAATACTTGTTCTCCCCACTGTATATATATGTATTTATATTTGTGTACGTATGTGTGTATATTTGCGAGAGAAAAAAACATATGGGGGATTGGAAGTGATGCAGACAGTTACATTGATGAAAGATACAATCTATCTGCAATATTAAAGCTGATCTACCCCCACTGCTGTATTAAGCTGTTTTGGTGTTTCGTTCATAGGAACACAAGTTGATACTGCATATTGTTCATTGGAGGAGGAAATACAGTATCATAATCTATGTCTTGATAGGTAGCTAGACCTCTTTGGCCTAGTTGTGACACTTCCATAGTGTATTGATAGTCTATGGGATGAATGTACCTTGGTTTTCTCTCCAAGCAGCCATTTTTGATAGAGCGCAATTGACTCAGCAACATACAGTAATCAAATCTGTGATTCTGATCCTGTCCTATTTTGTGTACTTCCAGATGGCGTGAAGATGAGGGGTCTGAAGGCAGAGACAAATGGAACAGCCAAGCCGAACAAAGTGGTAAGGGCCTTCTCCATACCACGAAATACCACCCATACTAAGAATGTAGGATATTATCTCCATCTTATGGCTCAGAGAAAGTTGTGTTGGTGATAGGAAATGCTTTTTTTCCAGGATGAGGATCTGAAATGGGTAGAAGAGAATATACCCTCTTCAATGGCAGACGTGTAAGTGCACGCAAATTGAAGTTGTAGAAATGTTAGGAACATGAACCATTATTGACAGTGATAATATCATCACTTTGACTAGAATAATATATTACAGCGTGGTTATTACATAGTAAGAACATTGAAACTCTATGATGAGGTGTGAAACAAGCACAGAAAGGACAGTTGATTTCCTGATTAGAAGACAACTGTAATCCAGTTCAGTTGTAAATCAATCAAACATGTTTTCCTTTCTCTCCCAGTGCACTTCCCCCCCTACTGGACTCTGATGAGGTAAAACGAGGTGTTATTCCTGGTGTGAACAGAAGGGGGTGCCAGCTCCATGCTTATTAAAGAGCAGTAGCTAGTCAGCTTTACATCAGCATGTTTATCCCTCCTCCCTGTTTTCTTACTTGCTTGAACAATGAGAGGGTGCGGAAGGGTGGTGTGGTGGTGAAGCTTTTTCTGTCTGTTGCTTTTTCTTCACCCCCACATCAAATAAAGCCATTAGGATTGTCAATGCAAGGGATATTTTAACATAAAAATAAATACTTTCACATTTTAGCGAAGATACCAAAGTGTAATACTTCAAAATGTGAATATACCTGTATGGAGAGGGTAGTCAGTAGATGTAGATTTTATATTAAAGCTTTTGTAAAGATAGATTGACGTCAATGTCCATCTTTGTTTTTCAGTACATCATGTCCCTTTGGAAAGTCATTCCAACTATGCTTTAATTTCCCCACAGGAGACCATGACAACCAAATTTGAGATGTCCAAAATGGAATAGACGGAGGGAGACGATGCGCACTGCTGACAGACAGTACAGTATGTTAGACAACCCTATGTCTGTGTATGAAGGATATTATAATCCCTTCCTTATGAGCTTTGTAAGCAGAGGTTGTAAATATGATGGGATAAACTATGACGTAATGAGCTGACTACTTTTATTTCATTTTTTAATGCCAGTTTATTTATATTTTCGTGGATATATGTTTAATTTTTTTGAGATTCTTTACTACAAATGGTATCTAGCCTTTCACCGTGAAGTGCAGAATGTGATTAAATGTGAATTTTGTCCGCAATGTTTTTTCTCCAATATGCAGACTTGCACTTGGCCCAGCACAATCATACACACACTCCCTTACAACTCTCCCCACACACATACTCACAATTTTTCTTTTGATCTCTCTAACTGTCCCTCTCTCTCTTTCTCTCACTCGCTGTTACACACACACACACACACACACACTGCACTACAGTCCCTGGTTCACCCTTTTCTTTCATTTTTTAGTGGCCATTAGTGACATCTCACTGATCTGTGTATCATACAGCCTTTTAAAGAGTGACTGTTATCTAAGCGGGTGAAATGCTCCAGACATTATAGTCAATACACAGTGACCTGCCTGAGGGCAGATTGTTTTATTGTGTCTGTTCCCACTGATAACAACCAACTATCTGGTCAACACATCCAATAAGGAGACCCCCGGGGTGTTTTTCTTACAGCTGCCACTTAGTATTCACAACAATATTGTATTACAGTTGTGTTATATTGCCAAAAAGACCTTTAAGTCATATTGTGAGCTTGTTTGTTAATAAATGAACTGCTAACACACATACAAAAACAATATCACCTTTATTTGTCCTGATTGATTGATTTGTCATTTGGCAGAACAACAGGAATGTAATGACTATGTAATGATCCATGTCATGAACACCTTTAGATGAATGAGGTCTACATTCCTGGGATGGCTGTGGCTTGTGGGTAACATCCCATTTCAATGATGGCAACCTGTATTTGTCTGTCACTGCAGGTTATCATTTTATGCACATTTTGTGTATTTTTAGCTAGCCTATAACTTCAAATAACATGTATCTATTATGTTGGGTTAATATCAGTTATAATATGCTCTTACTGTCTGTCATCTCTATAATAACTTAATCCCAGAGATTTAGTTTTAACAGATAACAGTATTGTGGTGATTTCATGAATAGTGCTGTATCAAGCGTATTTACAGAATGGTCACAGACATGTCCCTCAACTGCCAGGGCAGTGACACTGACTATAGCAGACATGCCTTTCTGAAACAAGTAATTTACTCTGAATGAGCACATCACTTGATGCAATTAATTGTGAAATTGAAGTACTTCAGCTAATACATACTGTACAAATCTGCCATTATGTAAAATGATGTAGGATTATCAAAATAGAGATGAATGACAAATAGCATTTCCATAATGCCTTCTTAAGTACTGTACATCAACATTTTATGCATAAATAGCCTCCACAATTATGGTTCTTTAGTTGTTAGATTTTAATCTTTATTGTTTTAATTTTTGACAATTTGCTAGCGAACATGTGACATCATTGATCAACAAAACATATCAATACGGCAGATCAATCTGCGTTACAGTGAGAAGATGTGTATAGAAAAAAAACATTTTGACTTAATATTTTATGGTGGTTTATTCATGTATACAACAGTCTAAAAACATTAACACAGAAAGAGATTAGAACACATTACTTAATGAATCCACATTGGGGGGCAGTCTTTAGGGATATCATTTCAAATGTGTTCTTGGGTGCACTTTGAAATATCTATTGACAAAACTACAAACAAAATGGCAAATGATATAAAACTAAGTCTTTTTGATCCTGGAATGAGAGATCATAGAGATTAGCATTTGACAAGGATGGAATGTCTTCCTTTCTTTTGACAATATAAAATCTCACTAGTAGAGGACAAGCAAAACATTTACATTGATCATGGAATGGTAAGCAAGAACTGCACTGATTGATGACTGAATTATTGCTTTTGAGTATTTTTTCATCTATATGGATTGCATCGCTCTCACCATGATGAACCGTGGCGTAAACGTGATTACTCCGTTTGGGGGGGGATCAAAGCTCCTCGCTGAACGAATCCCATGCAGATCTAATCCTCTTTGTGTGTCGTCACACGTTTCCCGCCTTTTTTTCTGGTGAATGATAACAGAAAAGATAGAATATATTAAAAATATATATTTAAATCAGAACATTCATAGAAAACGTTTTAATTAGTAGCAGACATGGTGCTGACAGATAGTCTTAGATCTTTGTGAAGTGTTAGTATTACTCAGACTATTGGACACAGATTCACAGCATATTCTACTTACTCCATAGGGTAAATCACAATATTGTAGACATGGTCCCTGACTGAAAACTGTGAATCAAACATGTGCGGGAAAAACTACTTTCATCGATAAACTGGTACCCCAGGGAGAAAGGTGCTTGATCTTGTTCCTAGACAGCCCAAGTGACACTTTGATTTGACTCCTAATCCTTTGATTGACTAAACATTATTGATGTCCTTTGACCCGCTTTCCCTACAATAATGAAGTGACCCTGTTATACACAGTGACCTTCCTATTGTGTGCTGTGACATGGATACCTATGAGTAATCCTTAGGTTCAGTGGTTCTTTACATGTTTCATGTTACCTACTGCAGTGCTGAGTGTCCTTAAAGGGATTTCAAAGTGTTGCATCAAAGTAGGTGAACTGATTTCAGTATCACATAACTACAATACGCTTCCACTTAAAGCTTCACCCAGCACCATAACTGTAAAAGCTCAATGACCAAAGCTGATGTCAATATCTGGGTAATTCCCATTATTGGCAGAATGAGAACACTTTAGATCATTGTCCAGAAAGTTATTCTCATTTTCTAACTGTTCAGTGGCTGCTGACATAACTGTCTGTAGGATGGATGCAGCAGCCTCATAGAACATCCTCTTCCGTGCTTCCTCTTGGTCATGTGGCTCAGTGTTGGCCTCCCCTGACTCAGAATGGGACCCTCCATTTTGAGGAGGCCCCTCCCCCCCAGCCTCTAACTCAAAGCTAGTCCCTAGTTCTAATTTAGCCTGGGTCATCACGTTAGCTCCATTTTGTTGGAGATCATTATCACAGCCTATTTCTGCTGCAAACTCACCACTTTGGGCAACTGCATTTCCTGTGCCGAGGTTCAGGAGCTTGGCGTCCTTCTTGGAGTTGGTGTTTTCTTGTTTGGCCTCGTCTGTTCGTCCATCTTTCTTCGGGGTCGTTTCATGATTGTGTATGGCGTCTTCTTCAGGTGTGCCGTTCGAGCACCCATTCTCACCGTTGATTTTCACCTCTGCTGCGGGCTCTGCTGGTGCTGCGGGCTTAGCTGAGTTGGCCTTCTCTGTCTCAGGACCAGACGGTGTGCTCGTTGCGGGCTCCTTTGCCTCTCCGTCTGCGGCTGTGTGCTCATTGGCCACCTGAGCCTCTCCTTTGTCGTTGCTCTCGCCCTGGGCAGCGTCTGCTTCTCCCTGCTGGCTGTCAGACGTGTCAGCTGGGGCAGCCACGCCCTCTGTGTCCTTCGCCTCCCCGTCTGCTGCCTCCTCACCCTCCTTCGGAGCTCCGTCTCCCTGGTCCTCGCTGGTGCTCTTCCCCTTTCGCATGATGAAGTTTTTCAGCGAAACCGCGCGGTTGAAGTGCGTTCGCTTGGCCTTGGCCGACTTGACCTGCTCTTTGCCTGCCTCTTCTGTCTGCTCGGCCAGTTCAGATGCGGCAACACCTTCCTCCTCCCCGCTGGCAGCCACCGTGTCTGCTGACCGCTTGGACTTGGGGATCACACGTTTTTTGAAGGAGGTCCAGATCTCATCTGCGTGTTGGTTCATTGATTTGTGTGGGGCGGCGGTGGCTCCTTTTTCCTCCTCTCTGTCTGTGTTGGTCTTCTCCTGTGTTTCGCCGTCTACTTGTGCCTTGGCTTCGTCTGTTTCAGGCGCAGCCGCTTCATCGTTCTCTGTGGCATTTTCCTCCCCTTCCGCCTTCTCGCCCTTAGCGGCTTTGCTGATGCCTACGACTGACGGGTCTCTCTTCAGCCCCTGGAATGTCCATGACCTTTTCAGTTTCCACCGTTTCTGGCCACTGGATTCTGAACCCTTGGAGTCCAGTGTACTTGTGTCACCAGGTGTGCCCCCAGATGCACCCTCGCTGACCTCAGCCTCCTTAGACTCTTCTGTGCTCTTCTTGTGACTCTTCTGGGCCATAAGCTTCTTAAAGGAATGCCAGCGTTTCATGTGTTTGGTCGCTGCACTGGAGGCAGGCTTCTCTGACTCTTCTGCTGCCGGGGCATCGTCCAGTTGGTCCACTGTGGTATTGAGGGCCTCGGGGTCCTCCAACCTGTCCAAGGATTTGGATCGGACCTTCACCTGATTCTCCTGAGCTTTTTCAATGGCCTGGTCCTCAGCCGCTGCCTCTGTGCCATTGGCTGCCGGCTCCTCTGCTTGGTCAGAGGCCTTTTTTGGCTCTGTGTTGCCCTCTCCATTAGCCTCCACAGCCTCAGTGCTCTGCTCCTTCTTCTTCTTCCCTCCCATGACTTTTCCCAGCCCACTCTTATTCAGGAAGGAAGAGAAAATATTCTCAGAGGCCTGTTTAGCTTTGCCATCGGCCGGCTGCTCTGTGCTCTCTGTGGTCTCTCCGGCAGGTTGTGCCTCTTCGGGTGGAGACGTGACAGCCTCTGTGACCGCCTCTGTGACAGTCTCTGAGTTTGTGGGCTCCACCTCCGTTTTGGTCTCGGTGGTGGTGGTGCCATCTTCCTGTACAGGCGCTGCACAGGCATCTGTCGCCGCCATATCCGCAAAAAGGTGTCTGTGTCGTTATATCCCGTTTTTCTTCAGTAGTTCAGGTTAGTTCCTTTTGTGCTTGAATGGACTGAGTTCATTGATCACGAGCTGACACGTATGGCACTATTCCCATCCAACTTCCCTTCGGAGAGGAGGGCCTCTGCATCATATTCCGTGGTGAGAATGAGGGCCACGAACCTGGTGGAAAATGAAATGAAAAGGGAATTCAATGTATAAATCAACAACACAGACAGTCCATTACTTAGTCTAGGGTACTCCAGACAGAGCAGACGCAATACACACTGCATCTCTGCAACAGCAAATGCCTGCTCAAAGGGGAGTTTTAAAGCCAATGCATCCAAGCACAAACCAACATAATGTAACGTGACAAATGCTATGTGAGAGGTGATGGGCATTTTGAAGAATGGGGAAATGACATGACTAGCCAGAGCAGTCAGAGGGAAATAAACACAGGGTGTAACATGCTCCATATATTCTCATGTTGTCACAAGGGTCTGACTCCTGTCACCTAGATGCTAGAGAGCGTTGCTGTTTAGAAAAGTGGATCCATGGTTTTGTTTAGTATTCAGCACCATTTGAAGGGTTTATGTCTGGGCTTTAGTATCCAGGAAAAACAAGCTGACATCCTAGATTGTAAGCTCGAACAATAACATGCAATGACAGCAGAGGCGAGTGAAAAATAGAAAATCTTCAGCAAATCTCCATAATGGAAAATGACCAAGAAAAAGAGCTTATAAATATTTCTTTATCTTCTACATACGGCGTACCTAATTTTAACATTTCTAGGCTTTAAGACATAAAATGTCTGCTTCCCAAGTAAAAGACACCTGGATCATTTTTATCTGGGAAATTGTTTATAATTGCATCATAACATTAAAGGTTATAGGCAAAACAGAAACGAACAAATGCTCTATTTTCTCTGGCCATGATTTTCTATAGACTTTAACCCCCCCCCCCCCCCCCCCCCCCCACACACACACACACACACCTTATTATAGACTTCACTGCACCCACAAACAACCCCTTTATCTCCCATTATGCGCTGTGGAGCACTGACCTTGTTTTCTAGTCGTCAGTGGGTTATTTTGTAACGTAGCTATGTCATCCATGGTTAAGCTATCTTTATAGATTCATACGTTATCTCTAAATCATCCAGTTGAGAATTTGAAATAATCTATTTTCTCTCCAATCTAAAACACCAGAGGTAAACTATATTCGATTATTTTAACGGACCCTGTGACATAAAATGAGTACAGCAACATGCATTGTAAAATAATGTTCTTGTATTTTGAGAAAGGAGCACGATGTTTTAATCTGATTTCCCAGTTAGGCTACTACTGCGTGCAAAGGAGCGTCTGTGGAGGGAGTGGAGACCTCGCTTGCATGTCCTGTCACAAGGACAATCGCGCGCTTTAGCCTTTTTGTCCCGTTTTCCTCTGAGCACTCTCTTCACCCTTTGTTATGTTAAACCAGCAGTGAGCGCGAGGGGGTTTAAGAAGCCCCTGCGATTGAGTTTAGCTGTGAGCTCCAATCATGCGCTGCAGAAATATAACATCATTCTAATGAGGGAGAGAGCGGAGAAATAGAACATGGTGGGGAGCCACCAGTGTGTCGTGAACAACTTTAGCATGAGCAACAATAGAGGCATCGGCAGTTCGCATTCAAAATAAAAGTCCCCCATTGAAACTGATGCAAATGAATAAACAATTGTGGAATCTTGCCACAATTGGACTAGATAATGTTATTTTGTGGGGGAATGTTGTTATATAAAGTCAACAAAAGACAATTATTAGTTTCCCCCCCCCCCAAAAAAAAATGTTGAAATTGCACTACATTGCCTACTTATCAGTGGTGTAAAGTACTTAAGTAAAACATTTTGTGAAGTACTACTTAGTGGCAATATTTTGTCACATAAACTCAAATTAGGCGAACTATTAGAGTTTTAGCAACCAGGAAATGGCGGAGCGATTCCTGCATAGTAAAACTTTAAGTAGGTTTTGGGGTATTTGTACTTTACCTTACTATTTATATTTTTGACAATGTTTACTTTTACTCCACTAAATTCCTAAAGAAAACATGTACTTTGTACTCCCAAATATTTTCCCTGACACCCAAAAGTACTCGTTACATTTGGAATGCTCAGGCAGGACAACAATATGGGCCAATTCACACACCATCCAGGCTTTGTCGTAGCCTGGCCGCGACCGGGAGACCCATGGCGGCGCACAATTGGCCCAGCGTCGTCCAGGGGAGGGGAGGGAATGGCCGGCAGGAATGTAGCTCAGTTGGTAGAGCATGGTGTTTGTAACGCCAGGGTTGTGGGTTCGATTCCCACGGGGGGTATGAAAAATAAAAATAAAATGTATGCACTCACTAACTGTAAGTCGCTCTGGATAAGAGTGTCTGCTAAATGACGTAAATGTAAATGTCTATCAATATAACGTGTTGTCATCCCTACTGCCTCCGATCTGGCGCACTCACTAAACACAAATACTGTGTTTGTAAATTATGTCTGGGTGTTGGAGTGTGCCCTTGTATGTCCGTCAATAAAATAAAAACAAGCCATTTGTGCCGGATGGTTTGTTTAATATACTGAACAAAAATAAACGCAAATGTAAAGTGTTGGTCCCATGTTTCATGAGCTGAAATAGAAGATAGAATACATATTCCATACGCACAAAAACGTATTTCTCTTACATTTTGGACACAAATTTGTTTACATCCCTGTTAGTGAGCATTTCTCCTTTGCCAATATAATCCATCCACCTGACAGGTGTGGCATATCAAGAAGCTGATTAAACAGCATGATCATTACACAAGTGCAGCTTGTGCTGGGGACAATAAAAGGCCACTCTAAAATGTGCAGTTTTGTCACACAACACAATGCCACAAGTTTTGAGGGAGCGTGCAATTGGCATGCTGACCGCAGTAATGTCCACCAGAGCTGTTACCAGATAATTGAATGTTAAATTCTCTACCATATGCCGCCTCCAATGTCATTTTAGAGAATTTGGCAGTATGTCCAACCGCAGACCAAGTGTAACCATGCCAGCCCAGGACCTCCACATCCGGCTTCTTCACCTGCGGGATCGTCTGAGACCAGACACCCGGACAGCTGATGAAACTGAGGGTTTGCACAACCGAAGAAATTCTGCACAAACTGTCAGAAACCGTCTCAGGAAATCTCATCTGCATGCTCGTCGTCCTCACCAGGTTCTTGACCTGACTGCAGTTCGGCGTTGTAACCGACTTCAGTGGGAAAATGCTCACCTTCGATGACCACTGGCACACTGGAGAAGTGTCCTCTTCACGGATGAATCCCGGTTTCAACTGTACCGGGCAGATGGCAGACAGCGTAGTGTGTATGCCGTCGTGTGAGTACTTTTTCCACCACTGATACTTATATATATGCACTGCACAACCTATGGATTGTGTACCCATGAAATTGGGTATCGGCCTACCCAGTGACACCCCAGAACACAATTCTGTAGAGTTTATACAAATATGAGCATCTTAGCTGTGGTCCTCTGTAGCTCAGCTGGTAGAACACGGCGCTTGTAACGCCAAGGTAGTGGGTTCGATCCCCGGGACCACTCATACACAAAAAATGTATGCACGCATGACTGTAAGTCGCTTTGGATAAAAGCGTCTGCTAAATGGCATATTATTATTGCAGGACTTTGACTGTGGAAAATCACCTCCCCAGTTACTTTATCATGCGTATTGAAATTAATATTGCACTCCACAGCCTAACCCAGCGTTTCCCAAACTCGGTAACCCAAGGGGTGCACATTTAGGTTTTTGCCCTAACGCTACACAGCTGATTCAAATGGTCAAAGCTTGATGATTAGTTGATTATTTGAATCAGCTGTGTAGTGCTAGGGCAAAAACTGAAACGTGCACCCCTTGGGTTCCCGAGGACCAAGTTTGGGAAACCTGGCCAAAGCTATGAACTGTGCACCCGTAAAATGTATCAGCATACTCAGTGACACCCACAGGACACAATTCTCAGAGTTTACTCAAATATTAGTGTCTTAGCTTGTATTGCAGGACTTATGACTGTGGAGAATCACCTTCTCAGTCAGTCTATTGTGCATATTGGACATTCATATTGCACTCTACAGCCTAAGCTATGGATTGTGCACCATGAAATGGGGTATCAGCGTACTCAGTGACACCCACAGAACATAACTCTGTAGAGTTTACACACATATTAGCATATTCGCTCGTATTGCGCATAATAAACTAACTTGGGAGTTGATTTTCCATAGTCAAAGTCCCGCAATAAGAGCTAGGACGCTAATATTTGTGTAAAATATTTATAAAGGCCTAGTTAACTAATTTTGTGGATTTTTATTATTATTTAGAATTATAGGGGTTTGCTGTAGCACCCTCAGCACCACTACTTCCCGCGGCTATGTATGTAGTCCAATTGTGGCATGATTCCACCATTTTTATCCGTTTCCATACGTTTCAATGGGGGACATTTATTTTGAAGGCGAACCGCTAATTCCACTATTGTTGCTCAAGCTAATGTTGTTCACGACACACTGGTGAAAAAGCCAATGCATTTGGTCGAGAAAGCAGGTGCCCGTGCTTTTCAAACGCTCATTTGCATTGCTAATGTCATTCACAAAGCCACAAGCCCCATTTTGTGTAGGCTAGCCTAAAATAAACGTCTACCGAAATGTTTTTACTGATATTTTCCTCTCGAAATGTTTGGGCTATAGCCTATGTAAGGGAATTCAACCCGTTAATTCAACCACAACAACAGACATGGTTTCCAAGTTGTAGCCAAGACGCATTCCGAACAATAGATAGGCTGGCCTATTGAGAAAGCTGTGCCGCGTTATAACGTGTAAATGCATTATCATAGGCAAAATACATGTCGAGAAAAAATATGCTTTGTAGCCATCTTTTCGATGAATTAAGCAATATTTCATTCAGATCATTCTGGAAGCAACACATGCGTGATTAGTAGAATATGAAATCCTCACTAAGGAAAACAACTCAAGCGCCACATTCCCAACAAATGCAGCGCTTGTCTATTGTGGCGAAGCTGATAGACTAGGCTACACATTCTCGAAACCTCTATCCCAAAAGCCAGTCTTCTCTTAAAATGTTTTCCCTCTCGTGAGCGATCAAATTTGTAAGATGGAATTGAGGTCCTACTTGGCCCCGTTTAAATTCACACTTTAATGAGTTGAAATTATAATGTGTGAGGGGGAATTCTGGCGAATGTCGTGGAAGTTGATTTAATGAGGAGCCTCAAATCCTCAAAGACCAAAGTACATTGTTTTGGTGCGCGGAATTGTCTTCCCAAACAAATGGTTATCGAACCAAAGCAATGCCAGAAAAAGACAAACATTTAATTTATGTAGGCTATCCTATGTACCCAGAGTTTAGATGCATCGAGCGCGCACGCATCACCCATCAACAGCCTGTTCATAGTCCCTCAACATTGAGATCCTCCAACAAAAACCAAGCTGAGCTCCCCACCCACCCAAGAGCTTCATCAACAATACATTTACATTTTAGTCATTTAGCAGACGCTCTTATCCAGAGCGATTTACAGTTAGTGAGTGCATACATTTTTTTTCCCTCCAATAGCCATATTGTATGACTATAAAGGTTAATTAAACGGTAAATGAAAATCACATAAGTTAATCATCATATGTATTTAATAGCGCATTTAACAAACACTATAAAAACGAATAATCTCTGCAAACCTTGTTTCGTGTGGCTAAATCCGTTTCTGTGTGCGGGAGAAAGGTAATAAACTGTTCCAGACCAGAAAAGACACTGAAACTAAATCCCCGCTCGCATCCTCATGCCTTGAAGCAGCCAACCCAGTGTGGAGAATTGCGCGGGGACGTCAGGGTCGTGTTGGTATTAACAGACGCGCAGCTGCGGCTCCGCAAATACAGCCCATCTATCTCACCCCGTTGCCCTTAGCAACCATGGAGCCCCCCCTTTTCCTCCCCTCCCCTAAAACCCCACCACTAAGAGGGTTAGAGTACGGTTCGGAATTGTTTCCCTGGGTAATTTGCCCAGTCAGAGCGAAGAGCCACTTGCATTTGATATGCGTAAAATTGTGCGCTTTAAAGCGCAAAATCGCATAATCTTGGGACAGGTTATCCTCCCATGTGCTCCCATTCCCATAATTTTGATGTGCAGCGAACCGTTGCTTTGTATCGTCATCTTGAACTCATGTGACTTGGGAACAATTAACCTTCAAGGTGAAGAAGAATTGACACCTGGAGTGGATGAACTGTACATTGAAATGTCAATTTATTTCATCCCATCACAATGTCCACCACCAATGAAATACAGAGGAAAAGCCCTTTTATTACAGCATTGTTCAGCCATGTTGGAGAGCCAAGTGGCCAGGTGCTTGCCATACAGTGAGACTGGAAAACAGAAGACAAATGAAGGTGTATGGGGAGAAAGCAGAGGGAGGATGCAGTGGAACATTGTGCTGTGTGCTCAGGCAGTGTGTATGGATACTAACATCATATTTGTCTGTGCCTATCTGTTTTAATATTGGACAACATTTGTCCCCTGGATAGAGTAAATTGTGCTCTGCACTGGAAAAGCATTGCTGTGTTATTAATATTTCAGAAGACAGTGCATCTGCGAGGACTTGGTCTCTTTCGCTCCCTGAGCCTTCATTTCCTTGTGGAGGATGCCAGCGTTTCTGTCTGTGCAGGCTAGGCTACACTGCTGACTTAGAGTCAGCTAGGCATCCGCTTTATGGTTAAGGGCACAGGAGGCCACGGTGCAGCCGAGCCACCCCCATGTCATGCATGGCTCCATGTGAAATCATCTCCTTACATGGCGGGGAGGGGAGGGTGTTGCGTGGTGCATCAAGGGGTTTAAGAAAGGTGCAGACATTAGCTGAAGCGGGAATTCAGAATGTCACCAAAGTTTGGCTCAATAAATCATTTGGGGGCATGGCTTGCGAGGGTGGATGGATACCCCCTCTGTTACAGTAGATGGAGTATCTACCATCTAAGCTTCCTCAACAACAACACACTGTGGGCTCTCCCCTGTAACCCTAATATAGATGTTCTTTTGGGGGTGGCCAATCAGCCCCAGAGTGGGGTGTTTGTCTTTTGTGTGGGATCACCAGCTAGAACGGCTGGCTCTGCCATGCCTCTGCCTCTGACCAGCTTAGGCAGCTTGGAGCCAACGTGCCTGAAATATTTCATCATTCCTTCCCCTCCACCACTGGCTGATCCAATCAGAGAATACATTCTTTTCACCCGCTATTCGAGTGAGCGAAGCCCAATGTCATTTGGATGTCACAGACAGGCAGAAGGAAAGCTGTCTGTGCCTGGAGAGGCTCTTGTCGCCTTGGTGACGTGTGTGTAGGGTAATGACATATTTGCCATTCAACGGCTTGATCGTAAATAACACTCATTCAGATGCACCATTACATTTCAGTCATTTAGCAGACACTCTTATCCAGAGTGATTTACAGGAGCAATTAGGGTTAAGTGCCTTGCTCAAAGGCACACCGTCAGATTTTTCACCTAGTCAGCTCAGGGATTCGAATCAACCTTTCGGTTACTGGCCCAACGCTCTTAACCGCAAGGCTACCTGCCACCATCACAGACAATACAAATGAAGTGCCAACCTACAAGGGATGGGAGCTTTGAACAGTATCATATTAATGGCTTTAGTTTTTGGCATTCTGTATTGGATGTCTGTCTGCTCTCAGACCCAGACATCCCACAGCCAGCAGAGTCCCTCTACAGGGACTGAAACATAAAATCGAATGTCCCCCAAGCGGTGGAGGGATTTCAGTGTGAACACATTTAAGTGAAGCCTCCCTAACGCCTGGCGACAGCGTGTGCATACTTGAGCGTGCACGCCTGCTGTGTGTGTGCATCAGGAAGCAAGTGTTTGTGTGTGTACATCAATGAGCAAGTGTGTGTGAGTGAGAGTGTGTATGGGTGCATCTGTATGTGTGTAGAGGGTTGGAGTGGAGGGGGGGGGGGTTGGGTGCCTTAACTCTGACAGGCTCAGCTGAAGGACGTGTCAGACTCACAACACTACCTGTCAACTCCATTTCCCGCTCTCTTATCCAGGGCGACAAGGTCTTATTTTAAGAAGTTGGTTTCTGCAGCCTGATGACCAGCACGTGTTCTGACACGCAGCCGTAAACACCCTGGCTCGGAGGCGCTGGCAGCCAATCGAATAGCATCTGCAGCCACTTCATTTACTTCAAATAGATTTACAATAGGCTGACGTCACTGTCTATAAATGTATGGGGTTAGGATTAAGCCTTCCATTTAATCAATGTGGACTGCAGAAACAATGACGAAGAACAGGAAGACCATGGAGGAGGAGTTAGGGTTAAAGATAGAGAGGGGGAGGAGGGGGTACTTTTCAATGCCCGTGCTTTGATGCATGCCTCGGCCAGCCCCAAAATATGACTCACAATACATCCATTCAGATGAATTAAAACAGAGGGGAGGCGATAGGGAGGGGGAATTTATCTGGGCTTACAGTCATTGTCAACTGAAGTAGCCTATGCACTGGACTTAAAGAGTGCTCAAAATCTTATCCATCTGACTCAGGAGAGAGCAAGGCACTGCAAAGATATATTTGTATTTTAATCTGGTGGTACCCTGGCTCGTCACTCTCTCTTTTTGGGTCCATTTAGGTAATGGCACTTTCCACGGGACATTAATCTGTGTAATTAGGTTTGAGCCACACTCTCCTCCGAAACAGATCGTGACGGTCCAGGGTACCGCTCTCTTTTTTTGCACTTTCTGCCCTGGAGGAAAATAGGTGGAATGCATAATCTTTTTCCTATCTACTTTCTTTCTTATTATCTGAATTCAGTGCTTATCGAGAGCAGGGAGGAAGCAATGGAGTACCTGACTGTTTGACAATGGTGACTCTCTGATGGACTCGCTGATTTACTGTGATTCACTGATGAGGCAAATATGGAACACACCTCTGGTTAGCTATCCAAATGAGGGAGGTGGTTTGCTTCCTGTATGTTGTCAGACCATCCCAATCAAATTCCTAGAACCAAACAAACCAATGATTGGTTAAACCATAGACTATCATCCCATACCTAAACCAACTGCCACTTCAGAATTCATCCGCCCCAAAATGGATGCCATGACTGTGTCTTCACACGTCCATCCATCCCCACCTGTAGGTCACTTATGGGCACTTTCCCCTCATCTGTGTTCAGAATGCATTTAGATACTTCATCTGGATGCCCAGAGAACGGTCCACACACAGCAAGTGGACCTTTCTAGATGTGCTTACTGGTTAATGTGTCGCTCATGGCGGAGGCCACGTCGACGCCAACGCCGCTGCTCATGCATGGGAGACCTTTGAGTTGCAGCTGTCGTGGCCACCCAATACTACAACACTCCTGTCCTGAAGTGATGCCTTCCCAGGGATTTCTCTATAATCTCTTTATGTGTGCACAACCTGTCAATCTCAATCACGGCTGTTGTTGTGCCAGCCTCCCTCTGGGGAGGGGGGGCAATGGTAATCCATTCTGTCGATTAGCTGCATGCCATCTCATTATCTCCCCACATCCGTGCTAGGCTGAGGGCAGAGATACGATGGGGACCGACCATGGATTTCTCCATTGTGACACAGGGGAGGGGACCTGTCACAGAATATCTAGGGAACGCCAAAGCTACACAACTGTGAAACACACTATTTTGTTTGTCAGTCCCTCTGCCAACCGTAGTGGATGTGAAAACCCTCTTTCCACAGGTGGGGTTAATGTAAATACTGTATTCGAAATCTCAGGAGGTCAACAAGTGTGTATTCCTCCAATGCTGGGGATTTTCATTAGCTTAGCTGTAACACACTGGGTGTAGTGCAGAAAGCAGGCTTAAAGAGTTACTCTCACTAAGTATCCTGACGACTAGCCAAGTGAGCCAGCATGACATTGGCGTCGGCATGACAACACTCACTATCAGGTCACAGTTTTGATACATAGGGAGATTTTCTGGATTCATACTATAAAAAATGTACATGTAGATGTACTCTTTTTATATGACAAATACGCAAATATTAAATATGTGATATGAGAAAGTTATATGATACTTTTATGGCTGACAATTTATCAGCCATAAAATTCAAGGCAAAGGATGGAATAAAGTAAAGGATTACAAATCAGGAAGCCCAAGGGCTTGTGCAGTTTGGTTTGTGTTGTGATTCAATTAACTTGTTTTTCTTATTTACAGTGCTAACAAGGCCTCCTTGTTAGAGCTCTGTTGAATTTTGGCTACCTTGTTCAAGAGAGCAGTAAGACATCAGCTTCACATTAACTCAGACATATTTTTTGCTTCTCTTAAGTTGAGGTAAGATACTGTATAACTTTTTTAAAAAGTGTTTGGTGATGCTATATGTGATTTATAGTGTGAAAACTTCAGGCAAGGCCCTTATTGAGCGCAGAGACTCATAGTACTGTCTGTATCAATGCACTCCCTCTTTCTGCAAGGTCAGTTGCTCCTTCTGAAGTCCAAACCTCGATAGTCAGCCTGATCATAGCAGTCCTCATCAGGAGCCGTCTCAAAACTCAGTTAGCGATGGTAACTAATGTGAGTCAGGCTAGCTCATACCACATAATATATACAGTGGGGAGAACAAGTATTTGATACACTGCCGATTTTGCAGGTTTTCCTACTTACAAAGCATGTAGAGGTCTGTAATTTTTATCATAGGTACACTTCAACTGTGAGAGACAGAATCTAAAACAAAAATCCAGAAAATCACATTGTATGATTTTTAAGTAATTAATTTGCATTTTATTGCATGACATAAGTATTTGATCACCTACCAACCAGTAAGAATTCCGGCTCTCACAGACCTGTTAGTTTTTCTTTAAGCAGCCCTCCTGTTCTCCACTCATTACCTGTATTAACTTCTCCTGTTTGAACTCGTTACCTGTATAAAAAAGACACCTGTCCACACACTCAATCAAACAGACTCCAACCTCTCCACAATGGCCAAGACCAGAGCGCTGTGTAAGGACATCAGGGTTAAAATTGTAGACCTGCACAAGGCTGGGATGGGCTACAGGACAATAGGCAAGCAGCTTGGTGAGAAGGCAACAACTGTTGGCGCAATTATTAGAAAATTGAAGAAGTTCAAGATGACGGTCAATCACCCTAGGTCTGGGGTTCCATGCAAGATCTCACCTCGTGGGGCATCAATGATCATGAGGAAGGTGAGGGATCAGCCCAGAACTACACGGCAGGACCTGGTCAATGACCTGAAGAGAGCTGGGACCACAGTCTCAAAGAAAACCATTAGTAACACACTACGCCGTCATGGATTAAAATCCTGCAGCGCACGCAAGGTCCCCCTGCTCAAGCCAGCGCATGTCCAGGCCCGTCTGAAGTTTGCCAATGACCATCTGGATGATCCAGAGGAGGAATGGGAGAAGGTCATGTGGTCTGATGAGACAAAAATAGAGCTTTTTGGTCTAAACTCCACTCGCCGTGTTTGGAGGAAGAAGAAGGATGAGCACAACCCCAAGAACACCATCCCAACCGTGAAGCATGGAGGTGGAAAAATCATTATTTGGGGATGCTTTTCTGCAAAGGGGACAGGACGACTGCACCGTATTGAGGGGAGGATGGAAGGGGCCATGTATCGCGAGATCTTGGCCAACAACCTCCTTCCCTCAGTAAGAGCATTGAAGATGGGTTGTGGCTGGGTCTTCCAGCATGACAACGACCCAAAACATACAGCCAGGGCAACTAAGGAGTGGCTGCGTAAGAAGCATCTCAAGGTCCTGGAGTGGCCTAGCCAGTCTCCAGACCTGAACCCAATAGAAAATCTTTGGAGGGAGCTGAAAGTCCGTATTGCCCAGCGACAGCCCCGAAACCTGAAGGATCTGGAGAAGGTCTATATGGAGGATTGGGCTAAAATCCCTGCTGCAGTGTGTGCAAACCTGGTCAAGACCTACAGGAAACGTATGATCTCTGTAATTGCAAACAAAGGTTTCTGTACCTAATATTAAGTTATTCTTTTCTGATGTATCAAATACTTATGTCATGCAATAAAATGCAAATGAATTACTTAAAAATCATACAATGTGATTTTCTGGATTTTTGTTTTAGATTCCATCTCTCACAGTTGAAGTGTACCTATGATAAAAATTACAGACCTCTACATGCTTTGTAAGTAGGAAAACCTGCAAAATCGGCAGTGTATCAAATACTTGTTCTCCCCACTGTGTGTGTATATATATATAAGTATTTAGTCAGCCACCAATTGTGCAAGTTCTCCCACTTAAAAAGATGAGAGAGGCCTGTAATTTTCATCATAGGTCAACTATGACAGACAAAATGAGAATTTTTTTTCCAGAAAATCACATTGTAGGATTTTTAATGAATTTATTTGCAAATTATGGTGGAAAATAAGTATTTGGTCAATAACAAACGTTTCTCAATACTTTGTTATATACCCTTTGTTGGCAATGACACAGGTCAAACGTTTTCTGTAAGTCTTCACAAGGTTTTCACACACTGTTGCTGGTATTTTGGCCCATTCCTCCATGCAGATCTCCTCTAGAGCAGTGATGTTTTGGGGCTGTCGCTGGGCAACACGGACTTTCAACTCCCTCCAAAGATTTTCTATGGGGTTGAGATCTGGAGACTGGCTAGGCCACTCCAGGACCTTGAAATGCTTCTTACGAAGCCACTCCTTCGTTGCCCGGGCGGTGTGTTTGGGATCATTGTCATGCTGAAAGACCCAGCCACGTTTCATCTTCAATGCCCTTGCTGATGGAAGGAGGTTTTCACTCAGAATCTCACGATACATGGCCCCATTCATTCTTTCCTTTACACGGATCAGTTGTCCTGGTCCCTTTGCAGAAAAACAGCCCCAAAGCATGATGTTTCCACCCCCATGCTTCACAGTAGGTATGGTGTTCTTTGGATGCAACTCAGCATTCTTTGTCCTCCAAACATGACGAGTTGAGTTTTTACCAAAAAGTTATATTTTGGTTTCATCTGACCATATGACATTCTCCCGATCCTCTTCTGGATCATCCAAATGCACTCTAGCAAACTTCAGACGGGCCTGGACATGTACTGGCTTAAGCAGGGGGACACGTCTCGCACTACAGGATTTGAGTCCCTGGCGGCGTAGTGTGTTACTGATGGTAGGCTTTGTTACTTTGGTCCCAGCTCTCTGCAGGTCATTCACTAGGTCCCCCCGTGTGGTTCTGGGATTTTTGCTCACCGTTCTTGTGATCATTTTGACCCCACGGGGTGAGATCTTGCGTGGAGCCCCAGATCGAGGGAGATTATCAGTGGTCTTGTATGTCTTCCATTTCCTAATAATTGCTCCCACAGTTGATTTCTTCAAACCAAGCTGCTTACCTATTGCAGATTCAGTCTTCCCAGCCTGGTGCAGGTCTACAATTTTGTTTCTGGTGTCCTTTGACAGCTCTTTGGTCTTGGCCATAGTGGAGTTTGGAGTGTGACTGTTTGAGGTTGTGGACAGGTGTCTTTTATACTGATAACAAGTTCAAACAGGTGCCATTAATACAGGTAACGAGTGGAGGACAGAGGAGCCTCTTAAAGAAGAAGTTACAGGTCTGTGAGAGCCAGAAATCTTGCTTGTTTGTAGGTGACCAAATACTTATTTTCCACCATAATTTGCAAATAAATTCATAAAAAATCCTACAATGTGATTTTCAGAAAAAAAAATGCTCAATTTGTCTGTCATAGTTGACGTGTACCTATGATGAAAATTACAGGCCCCTCTCATCTTTTTAAGTGGGAGAACTTGCACAATTGGTGGCTGACTAAATACTTTTTTTCCCCCACTGTATATATATATATATATATATAGTTTGTATTAATATTTTTGGGCTCTGAAATGAACTGCTGGTGCTCTAGCAGGAATATAGCAAAACAAATCACTTTGCTTCAGAGAACCATATCCACACACAGACAAAGAAAAACAACAGGTCCTTTCATCTCAGCATTTACTAGATTGGCCTAAAAACATTGGCCAGTACTTTACAGTTAGAGAAGGATTCTGGCATAAATCCAGGGGAATAAAGACATTATTCACACTGGCTCTTACAGTATGCACACTTGCTGTGCAAGCAGTACATCACCATGTCAGTGCTTCTGATAAGTACATCAGAAGTCAGCTGGAAAGGTCAGTTTACTCAGAATGTCTCGGAGGACAAGTCTCATTTACTCAGGCGCCTGAGCAGACACCCGTTTCTCCCCTGGGCCCACAATGCTCGTCCTTCAAGGGAAAATAGCAGCATTTATTTGTTCTGTTTTTACAGTCATTTGGCAGGTGGCACCAGATACCCGGCAGTATATCACGGTCCAGAGTCCAATCTAGTGCGCCGTGCCCCTCAGTCTCTACGCAGGTCCTAAAATATATTGTTAACAGTTGTGCCAAACACACACAAACAGGCATTTTGCTCTCTATATCGTCTCCCCCTCTGCGAGTCATTGGGATAAAAGGGCAACCAACCAAACAGCATAGAATGAATACATTGCAATTTGCCTCATTAGCATGGGTGAACTGAGTGGCCCTGTTAGTGAAGGCCTATCAGACTATGGTCTCCTCTTTAGCTATTCATACCTGAATCCCTGACCCTATGCATCAGAATCCACATTCACTGGCAAGCCATGGTGTTGAAAGGCCATCTGCAAATTCTTCCAACATTAACTTATTTGCGCACTAATTGAATTTGAAACATTCTTGAGCGCATTTTTTGCATGCGCCAGTACAAAACCCCCTTTCAGTTCACCCACTAGCCCAGATACTTGCTGGCCGTCGCACTATGGCGAAGTCAGAATCACACGACATACCATTCCACACACATTCCATAGTAGAAGAAAAATAGATATATACCCCTCGATTTGTTCTCACACTGGTCTTTAATTTCATGATTCATGTACAGATCTGGAACTCCACATAAAAAACAGGAATCCTCTCTACTGTATAAAGGGGAAGATTAAAAAAAATCATCCATTAATGCAAGAAACTCAAGCATCTGATTTGTTACGCTTTGCTACATTTCCACGCTGATACACACTGGACGGACAACAATCCAAAATATGTGCAAACACTCCCCCACAAACACACACAAGTATAAGGCAGGCATATTCCAACATTTTCAGATGAGGTGCAGGTACCTCACATAATATTATGGAGTAGAAATATATATTTTTAATTCACTTCTTAGACTTTGACATTACATTTGTTACGTTGTATAGATGAGATCCAGGATTGCATCCACTGTGTCAAAATAGAAGCATTGACCATTAACTATTACATAACACATACGTTATGTTTAGAGGCTTACACTGTGTCTTCACTGGCCTCAGATGCATTTGCTTTTGGCTGATTGTTTTCCAGCTGGACCCCTTTGGCATCGCAGCAGATATAAAAGAAATGCATTGATGATATACTAACCAACCCCTCACACATGCAAACAAGGTCACACACATGCACAGAAGCAGTACAAAATGACTGATCAATGTATCCTAAGTGCATTAGCCAGGTCACCTATCCCATTGACCTACACATTACTTACACATGAGGTATCTCTGCAAGTCTCCCTAGTAAGTCTGAACTCGGGCATTCAGTATCATTCATTTGCAGAAACCCCATGTGAAATCGAGAGCTTGGGACTATAACGATCTATCTGCAAAAAGATGATGATTCGGAGATAATTGGCTTTAAAGTTCCGAACCCTCATTGGTTTGAAAGGTGTCTGCAATGTTTATCTTGTATTCTTTTGAATTTAACAACATTCATTGGGGTATTTAGAGTACTATATAGGTAAAGAACATTGATCAGAACAAGGCTGTCAATAACTCAATTTTGACTAAAATGCAGATATAACCTTCTAGTCCCAAGCTCTCACAATATAGAGTGCAGGATAAATTGAAAGCTCTCTTTAGCTTTGACATAATACATTTGACATAATACATATTGATATACAGATAATTTGTACTGTCTTATCAAATGCCCAAAGAGAAATGCTCAAAGTATTTGCCGTTATTAAGTCTTCCATATAGACTATAGTCACCACATAAATAAGTTACAAACCCATCAACAAAAGTGCTACCATGGTACAGTAAGACATATTACGAATGCCATTAGAGATCGTTATAAATGAGGCCTATTAAGTAATGAGCCACTTCTGCCAGCAGGCTGGTGCAGGGATTCAGATAATAAATACCAAGCCCACATTTTGATTGGGCCCAATAGTTCTTAATCTCTCATACGGCCTCCTTGTTAATGCCTTACTCATGGCTTTGAAATGCAAAGGCATTCTGGGACTGTCCCCCCTAAAGCAGGTGTGTTCCGGGCTCACCAGGGGTTTGTTGTGCCCCCTGTGACAACCTTCTGGGACACTTTTGTCCCTCAGGTTGGCGGGGGCCCGTTGACGTAGCGCAGAGCCAGTTGGAAGGAGCGGGCCAGGGAGTTGGAGCGGTGGCACTCTGGGTCCATGAGGAGTGCTGTGGACCAGACCAGCAGGGCTAGAAACACAGCCAGCAGGACGACCAGGAACACTGGGCTCCTCAGAGTCTCTAGTACCCACACGGCCCATGAGCTGCACTGGGTTTGTCTGTTAGGGCACTCATTTGGCCTACAGGAGGAGTGGGGAAATGGATAGAAGGTGTGTGATAGAATTACAGTCTCAGCATCATTTAAGTCAGGGGTTGTTTTTGACCTTGGGGACTGGGAGTGTGTGATGTTTAAAATTTCACATGGAGAAGTGAGATTAGCTATCACAGTCTAATTGGTATTGATTGGAATATCAAATGTGAAATGTCACGACAGGTATTTGCAGTGTATCTATGTATAATAAGTAAAAACGATGATAGTACAGTAATAAGTTGAACCAAAGCATTGAATATTAAAACATATAGGCTGTGTTTACACAGGCAGACCAATTCTGATCTTTTGCCCAATTATTGGCAAAAGACCTGATTGGTCAAAATACAAATAATTGGGCAAAAGATCAGAATTGGTCTGCCTGTTTAAAGGCAGCCATAGTTTCCACGTGAATAAGACTTTACTCACCATTGCTGACTATGAACCACCTCCCATGAGGCATTGCAGCGCGGCTCTTCCTCTCGAGACTGGCAGAGAAACAGAGGAATCAACAGAGAGAGGGATTGTGTACAAACACACACATACACACACACAGCCAACCCGACAGAGGATGCATTCATTTTGGCCTCTGCTCTGTAGGCCTATACAACTTTTTACAAGGCAGCTGGCAAAGGTTTGAACTTTTAGTGTGATCTGTGATCTGAATACAACCCGTCATCTTCAGTACATTGAAGACACAACAGATGAATAGACTTCATTTTACAAGCTGCCATTAACAGTTATGGCAATGATAAATAATGTGATACTGTTACCTGTGGGTTTGATTGAAGTCTACAAGTCATCCTATCAGACTGGAGCTGGAGGTCACATGACTGTGAGGTGCAGGGGGCCAAACACAGCTCCTGGGGGTGTGTCTGAACGGGGATGTCCCCGAGACTGTGGCTTCCCTCAGAGCAACCAGCACGCTGACACATATACACAGAGCAGTTTGGGTTACGGCACAGGCTAGAACCATTCTACATGACAGTGTCTCTATGCAACAAAGGCCAATTGTAAATCAAAAGAAACTTAGAGATGTGGTCCAATGAGGTTGCCGTGCGCACACACACAGACCACACACACACACCCCCTCTCTCATGGGACCGACCCATCAGCCCCTCGTCAGCACCTCTCCCTTAATCCACTCACTGGGTTCTGACGAGCGCTCGTGACCTATGCTGTGTCTTGTCTTTATGCACTCGCCTGCAATTACAACAGACATTAAAAAGCCAGTTAACGCCAGGGCTCTCCGCCGTCCCTGTAAAGCTGACAATTAAGCCACGAGCGCAAAGAAATGACAAGAGCCCCTTTGAAATGGAAATGGTTCCTCTACAAGGTTTGAGGCTTTGCAGTGAAATCAGGCTTTCCATCAGCACAGCGATTCACTTTCTTATGGACGTGTCCCCCTCTGGCGAACAGAATGCTTAAGTCAGGCTGGGCTTCAGACAGCTTAATTAGAAATAAATGTTCCTCGGCCGTTTTTGTTTTGGTGACACTTAAAAACGTAGCCTCTGCTACACCGATACATTTATAAATCACCATTTTATTGATTTGTTTACGAGCTAAACAATGTATAAAATAGACACTTTGTAGGCGATTTGACACCCAAAATAGGGGGCAATGAATTTAAAGCTGCATGCAATGACACAAAACACTGAGTGTTCGATTTAATAATAATATGCCATTTAGCAGACGCTTTTATCCAAAGCGACTTACAGTCATGCGTGCATACATTTTTTGTTGTTGTGTATGGGTGGTCCCGGGGATCGAACCCACTACCTTGGCGTTACAAGCGCCGTGCTCTACCAGCTGAGCTACAGAGGACCACAAAACTAGATTTACATGATTCTATGGATATTGACTTTTCCATGATGCCACTTGCAGTGAATTCTCCATGCATTTTTGCAAATACTGCATGGAAAAGTCGATTCCTAGAGCTTTTCACAGTAAAAGTGAGCCTTTTCCACGAAGCAGGTCTGCATAGACCCAAACACTTGTGTGTACAGTATGTCTCACTGTACATGCTCCTCTCTGGATCAATGGTACTAAAGAGGAACACAAGCAGAACCTAATCAGTGTGGAAGGTCAGGAGTCTTGTGGAGGCTCCAGGGCACATTTCTCTGCCGTTCCAGAAAGCTACACAGATGCGAAGATGGTCAAGTGATGCAGTATGCTGCTCAATGAAGGCTACTGTTGCTAGCAGCTCATTCCTCCAACTATACTCATTTCAGACTGCAGCGGCTATTATTTTTTGGGTGTGGGCCAAGTCGAATGTCCTCAAAGGATCAGAGGGTTTCTGTCTAAGTCATTATTTCCACCAATTAACTGAGACTATGATGAATTCTAATTTGGAGGAGATATTATGGGTCAGAGGGGACACTAGATCAGTTTGTTAAAAGGCAGAGGAGTTTTACTGGGTTTAAGGCGTACCTTCCGAGTACTGTCGGTCTGGACAGCCTTGGAGCAGGCTCTGTGCTGTTGGACCGAGGGGACGGTGTGGCTGTGCGTCTGTCCCAGCCAAGCGCTGATGCGAGCAGGGTCAAAGGTTACAGGCTCCGGGGAGGGTCCGTCGGGCGTGGAGGTCATCCAGTGGCCAGAGAGTAGAGGTCTGCCATCTCGGACACTCTGGGTCGTGGAAGGTGAGAACAACTCTGGACCTGCATACTCAAACCTCCTCTCCGGCCTCTGGAAACACCAGCCACAACCAAGTGAGGATAGATAGTTAATTCCAGGTAACATTACACAAACACATTTCATTGAGATTTTCTGCTTTAATATGCAAAAACCCTCAGAGGCTTTGATGTCTTTATATTGCTGGCTTAATCAGATGCTAAAAATCAGTCCTACACTACTGTATCACTATTAATTCCAATGGGTTTTGGTTTGGAGTTCAACAGCAGTGCAACACAATCAGTACTATATTAGTCAGACCAGCAAAACAAAACTTCTCGCTACTGACAACGATGATAATGGAAGTATTGGCTTTAGACTTAACTAGAAACAGAGAGCTAAGATTGCTTTTTCTCACACACACATTCTCCACCTCTCTCACACACACAGCACACACAATAACTCCTTGTTAATCAAACTGAAGAACATTGTGCCTCATCATAATTTCAATGGATCATTTGTTTCACCCTGACAAGTGGATGCACATACTTCAGTATACACTGTCCAATGAATTATTCAAATTCCTTTGCCGGTTGAACACAAGTTTACATTCCTGATAATATTGCAAAAACATGTCGACCTGTGTGTGGCCGAGCGAAGCGCCAGAATACAGATCAGTAGGAGGAGCTCAGTCTACTCACCATTTCCTCTGCTGCTCTGTTAGTTATTTCAGACTGAGAGCCTATGGAGTTGAGGTAAGTCCGCCTCTTCACACCATCTCTGGCCAATGGCTTTTCTCTATCTGTTTGAATGACACAAGCACACCTCAAATCTGGTGCCAAGCCTCACCGACACACATCGAAAACAATGACAGCGTTAATCATTTAAAATGTTGTCATGGCATCACAATAGTCGAGGATAGAACAAGTGGATTATTCCATCAGCGTCATTAACCTTTTTAAAATCCATAGTAAATTATTTCATTGCCTACTTGTGTTGGCGCTGAAATATGACAAGTCAGCGTCGTCATGGGAGACGGGGCCCCCGATGTCAACGGAGGGGTCCCACTCCAGCACCATGTGGTCCAGGTTGGGGGGGTTCTGCTGGTCTGGGGCACTGCTCTTCTCAAAAACTCCATCCTGCTCCAACAGGATCTCAGACGGACAGCCGGAGTCAGAGGCTTGAGTCAGTACCCAGTCATCCTCAAACACCTGAGGTAGGGCAGATAGGGAGAGGGAGGAAAGGAGGAGGTATAAATGGAAGAGAAGAACTATAAGGATGCTATAAAACACACTAATGGTAGAGTGGTTCTCAGTGTTTGGCCTGGAACAGCTGATCAGAGCCAAGAGAAAAATGGGCATATTCCACAACCCAAAATCACCTCTCCTTTCTTCACTAGCTTCCTTTAATCCATATAGCCCTTTCAGAACGGTGGACAGAAGCTTAGAAGAAGAGTGACGTAATTGTGCAGAAAAGCAGGGCCTTAGAGTGGCTGGTGCAGTTAAAGATAAAGGTTAAGCAGAGCCTACCAGTCTCATGCTGAGCAGGCGAGTGTGCAGACGGCCCACTCCCTCAAATACGTGGGCACAGTAGACCAGCAGCTCCTGCAGCCCCTCCTCAATGTCTTGGGCATCCTCTGGCTCGCTCCTCTGGATCAGCGCCTCGCCCCGCTCCAGGAGACCGTTCAGACGCACCGCATTCTCCCCCACTGCCTCCTGAAAGCTCTGAGGCCACACACACACACACACCGCACAGCCAATCAGGGAGGACACATTTACCAGGGGAAAGGCCATAAGAATAGGTACTGGAATCAGGTAGAAGCAAGTCAGGCTAATGTGAAAGGGACAGTTAATGGGAATTACAGATAAAAGACCAGGTAAAGCAGATGCATAGCAAAATTATGTTAGGCATGAGTGAGGACCACTGACTGCGTGGTCAGATTACTTGGCTGGTCAGTCCTGTCCAGTACAGTCCTAGGCCAGGTCCGTTACCTGCAGCTCCCGCATCTTGTCACAGGTGTCCCTTCCAGAGAAGTGTTCCACCTCGGTCAGCCTAAGGTCCATGTCAGCAAGCCACACAGCCATCTCCTCCCTCTGGCCCTCAAACTCCTCCCGCTGGGACACACAGTGCTGGGGGAGGGGCAGGAGGAGACGGGGTAGGAAAGAGAGCACGTGAAGCGAGAGAGGGGGGAAGAGGAGAAAATAAAAAATTGCAGGCCAAGAGAGGTGAAGGCAGTTTGTCCTCCGAGCAATGCTGGCATCTGAATACATTTGGGAGAAATCGGATATAGCGTCCCCTATATTCACTGTCTTAGATATCTGTGTGATGGAGGAAGGGAGTATCTTGTATCTTGCACATATTACCTTGAGTCTGCGGCAGACTCTCTCAATGGTTCCATGTAGGCGGTCCCAGCGCTGACCACAGTCCCTGGCCATGCCAATCAGGCGTGAACGCATGGCCCCATCAAAGAGCCTGGTTAAGGTCCTGTTCCTAAGGGTCAGGCTGTCCAGCTGCACCAGCCGAGCCCCAGCCTGGGTCCTCAGGCTCTGGAAGGGGAGAGCACAACAGCTGGGGGTTTAGATAGAACAAAAGAGAGATACTTGTTCTTCTATTATACAGGTGAACAAAACAGTTCCGTAATAACATCTCTATTAAATTTGTAATAACAATGACTGAGGACATGAACACCAACATGGGGCTTTAGATGGCCATTAGATGGTCTGATCTGGTCTCTTTTACCTCAAACTTCTTGAGTTCCTCCTTGGCAGTGACAAAGAGCACATGGGCAGATCTGGGGGAGTCGGCAGACTTCTCAGCCAATCGGAGCCAGTCGCCGAGAGAGCAGTACTCCTTCATGAATTCATGCCATAGTGCCCATTTTCTTTCCAACCTTTGCGAGATAAACAAACAAAAGGCCAGACTCGTAAACGGAAAAGCACATTGCTTAGGGTAGTATGGTTCTCTGCTAGGAGAGACTGCAGTATCGGCTGTTGATCAATACAATCTACATTCCATTAATTAACTGTCCATGTTAATTAGGTCTTAATCCTTCAAAATCAGCAAATACACTTGAGAAAACCCCATTGGGGTCAGAAGAGAAAACAAATGTGTTGAGGAGTTGAGAAAGGGGCTTAACAGATACACACTCACTGGACACATCCATCCAGAGAAGGGCTTCCATCTTGGATCAAGTAGGTTCCCAGTGTCAGACAGTCTTGGGGCTCCTCACTGATCTCTAGTAGAGGCAGGAAGTGGGACTCGGAAAGTAGCGGCTCAGTGTGCTCTAGGATAAGGTCCAATCCCAAGGGGCTGTTCACAGACTGGGTAGCGACTCGACGTTCATCCTCTTCCGACATTATGTCACTTCCTGTGGTACAGGGACAACAGTGTCCATGACTACCGGCTGGGAGTGGCACCTCCACAGGCATCTTGGGCTCCACCTGTCACCTGGGCGGCCCCACCTGTTTGGGGTGGGAAAGTGTCACCGCATTACAACACTCCGAAATGAGGTGAGAATTCTTATTATTATTTATTTATTTATTTTCATACTGGCCCCCTGTGGGAAACGAACCCACAACCCTGGCGTTGCAAACGCCATGCTCTACCAACTGAGCTACACGGGACTATAACACATATACTCAACGCAATTCATTTCAAAGCATTTTTCACAGTAACATAACCTCTATAGTATGTTATCAGATGGAGCCTACATGCTTTCAATGCACTCAGTAAAGGTGCCATCTTTAAAAACAACTATCATCAAGGGTGGGATGTCTTTGAGTACACTCAGTGTTGGGTGAGCACCTGAGTTCACCCTGATGGTTTATTCATATAAGTAATTACAAATAGAGTTCTGAATGACTGCCCAGGAATTGAGAGAGACAGCGCAGATGGCGCGTAGCTGAATGGCTCTCCCAAAGTGAGGCAACTATCCGAATGGCCAAGCGGTTATTTTCTGGGCCATCTAATCGTTTTGTAGTAGCAATCACTCTTATGAATTATGACTCAGCGGTTCCACACTTCAGACCATTCTAAAGGGGGTTAGGAGCTGAAAACAGAGGATGTTTTCACATTACGGACTATTGAATAGGAAATGAAAACAGTAAAGAGTAGTCTTTCGGTCTCATCGATGTTGACATTATCAATTTCTGCCTGCCTTTAGAAAATCATACAACAAAAGCTGAGGGTGTGTAATTAAACTAGTCTGAAACATGCTCTTGTCTGGTCATGTAGGCCCTGTATGTTCAATCCTGGTTGTTTGTCTGTCATCTCTACAGTATAGTAAAGTATAATAGTTTCTCTCGCTTTTATTCAGTGATTGACGGCACACTGGGCAGCAGCAGCAGCCTGTCAGATAACGTTTCAGAGTGGGCACAGGTTTCTGAGGCGATCAGATCTTTGATAGTCGCGGGGGAACTTCAGTGGGGTCGCCAAAAACAAAACAAAAACTTAAGAGTACAGATTATTGTATGGGACAATATACAAACATTTTTTGAGAAAGATAATTGTATTTATTGGTTTCTTTTCATTTTGATGTAATGAATTGAAGGTTATTTGTTGATGCAAAAATGTTAAATTTACAAATTTGAAGGTTGTGTCATTAGATTTTGGGTGGGGTCGCGAGAAATTCTTGGGGGACAAAAATGGGGTCCCCAGAAATTCTGGCTAAAGAAAATGGGGTCCCCGCTAAAAATGTTTGAATACCTCTGATTTAGAGAGATTTCTTGCATTCATTACTTTTTGATGCAGTCTTCTCATTGTCATTCATAACTCATTCCCATGTTGCCATGCTTCAGGGCGGAAGGAATGTCGATATGTGAAAGGAATGACAGCTCCTTCCAGGGGAAGTAGAACAGTGTGGAGGATGTTTCCAATACACATCACTGGCAATCTGCAATCCCACCTGTCAGAGTCCATCGACCCAACTGTCTATACTTAGTATTCCTTTCATATCCTCCAGAAGAACATTCAGGATTGCAGAAGTTCTTTAGTCAATGCAGAGATTTCACTATCAAGTTTGAACTCTTGGCAAACTACTTACGTGGTTCTCGGTTGGTTCATTTGTGTGGCACAAAGCTGTGAGATACTCTCCATTTGAGCCAACATCTCAGAGAGTGGTTGGCTCAACTGAAGTTAATGACTAAACTGAAGTCCATAGGTCACAGAAACTGCCAGGAAAAACTTTATGCAGGGCAGATGTGAGGCCAGGCTGTCGGTGGAGTCTAATAACTACAATCATCATGTGTGATACAGTTATGGACCACATCAATAAAAATGGAAGGGGATGATTTTATGACCCAAAAGTAATTAGTGCTTATCTCACGGCGACAGCAAACAGGGACCACGAGGTTCACATGGTTACCAAGGCGTTATGCCAACCCAATCTGCTCACATTACTAGTGTTGTCAATAAAATGTCCCATAAACAACTTGATTGAGATGCCCTGGAGACTCAATACTTCACAACAAGTTAACACAGGAGTGTTCTTTTCCATGGCAGTTCTTTTTTATGCAGAGTTAAATAGAAATCCAGACAGTGGAAGTAGCCTGTAGGCTCTTTAAGAATTCCCTCAGCCTTGGAGGCTGATAAATCACTTCTTCACAATTGTGCCCAGAAGAGTTATGAGGGCACCACTGTGGCCCTGGCAGAAGAAAATGCCAAATAGATTTCCCCCGGTCCCTTACCTGCTGAATGTGCCATGGAAGGGGAAAACGGACCCCTCCGGGCTAATGTCACACTTGATAATCCAGCACAACAGACTGACTGCTGCAGCACCGACCAGCCTGAGATTGACCTCTGCCCTTAGACTAATCATCCAGAGTGAGACAGGGAATAACACTACCAACAAGACACAAATGTATCAATGGTCATCTTCCCCTCTTCAGATAGAAGAGAATGCAGGGCTTTCAAAATGACTGCCAGCCAGCCATTGGTTAAATATTAATATAAACACCATGAAATGTCCTTTTCTTTTTCCTCATGAGAGAGCAGCATCAGTCAGTCACATCTCAACATTCATAACCGTGTGTGGCTGATTGCTCCATCACAAGAGGGCACAGAGTCACTGGATTGGGCCTCGAGGCGATGGAGTTGAAAATCGAAAGCAGTTTTATTACTTTTGTACCTGTTAGGGGAGCTCACTCCATTCTGGAGAATAATGGAACCCGCAGATGTCACAGCTTCTAAAGGGCACTCATGTCATTTCTGCAGGCTGGGAGTGAGAGAGAGGGCTGGGTGGCAACGAGGCTCCAGATCTATGTTGAGAGGTTAATCAATTCTCCAGTGTTGAGTGGTGTGTGTGTGTGTGTGGGAGGGGGTTAGGGTTGCAGTATATGATGGAAGCTGACAGCCGGTAGTTTTGAGTAACATGTAATTCCATGGGGGCTCGTATCAGAATCTCAGGTTTCTACACATACACGCCTGTATCATATACGCCCTCCATAAAAATGTCATGGTTAGGTTTCAGTCCCCCTCTAGACAGCACAAAGGACAGGGGCCTTCCCTGGCTGCAGGTGATGATACTGTCCCAATAGGCTACTTCTCAATGACAGTACATGTACTCTGTTAAATCTCCCTCTTTACAGTATGGCAAAGGCCATCAGTGTATATACAGTGAGGGAAAAAAAGTATTTGATCCCCTGCTGATTTTGTACGTTTGCCCACTGACAAATAAATGATCAGTCTATACTTTTAATGGTAGGTTTATTTGAACAGTAAGAGACAGAATAACAACAACAAAAAATCCAGAAAAACACATGTCAAAAATGTTATAAATTGATTTGCATTTTAATGAGGGAAATAAGTATTTGACCCCCTCTCAATCAGAAAGATTTCTGGCTCCCAGGTGTCTTTTATATAGGTAACGAGCTGAGATTAGGAGCACACTCTTAAAGGGAGTGCTCCTAATCTCAGCTTGTTACCTGTATAAAAGACACCTGTCCACAGAAGCAATCAATCAGATTCCAAACTCTCCACCATGGCCAAGACCAAAGAGCTCTCCAAGGATGTCAGGGACAAGATTGTAGACCTACACAAGGCTGGAATGGGCTACAAGACCATCGCCAAGCAGCTTGGTGAGAAGGTGACAACAGTTGGTGCGATTATTCGCAAATGGAAGAAAGACAAAATAACTGTCAATCTCCCTCGGCCTGGGGCTCCATGCAAGATCTCACCTCGTGGAGTTGCAATGATCATGAGAACGGTGAGGAATCAGCCCAGAACTACACGGGAGGATCTTGTCAATGATCTCAAGGCAGCTGGGACCATAGTCACCAAGAAAACAATAGGTAAACACTACGCCGTGAAGGACTGAAATCCTGCAGCGCCCGCAAGGTCCCCCTGCTCAAGAAAGCACATCTGAAGTTTGCCAATGAACATCTGAATGATTCAGAGGAGAACTGGGTGAAAGTGTTGTGGTCAGATGAGACCAAAATGGAGCTCTTTGGCATCAACTCAACTCGCCGTGTTTGGAGGAGAAGGAATGCTGCCTATGACCCCAAGAACACCATCCCCACCGTCAAACATGGAGGTGGAAACATTATGCTTTGGGGGTGTTTTTCTGTTAAGGGGACAGGACAACTTCACCGCATCAAAGGGACGATGGACAGGGCCATGTACCATCAAATCTTGGGTGAGAACCTCCTTCCCTCAGCCAGGGCATTGAAAATGGGTCGTGGATGGGTATTCCAGCATGACAATGACCCAAAACACACGGCCAAGGCAACAAAGGAGTGGCTCAAGAAGAGGCACATTAAGGTCCTGGAGTGGCCTAGCCAGTCTCCAGACCTTAATCCCATAGAAAATATGTGGAGGGAGCTGAAGGTTCGAGTTGCCAAACGTCAGCCTCGAAACCTTAATGACTTGGAGAAGATCTGCAAAGAGGAGTGGAACAAAATCCCTCCTGAGATGTGTGCAAACCTGGTTTCCAACTACAAGAAACGTCTGACCTCTGTGATTGCCAACAAGGGCTTTGCCACCAAGTACTAAGTCATGTTTTGCAGAGGGGTCAAATACTTATTTCCCTCATTAAAAAGCAAATCAATTTATAACATTTTTGACATGCATTTTTCTGGATTATTTTTCTTGTTATTCTGTCTCTCACTGTTCAAATAAACCTACCATTAAAATTATAGACTGATCATGTCTTTGTCAGTGGGCAAATGTACAAAATCAGCAGGGGATCAAATACCTTTTTCCCCTCACTGTAGTACAGTCCAAAGACAATGGATGTCATGTCACCATTTCTGCACAGATTAGAGTAACTACCTGCCCATGAATAGGGATATGACAAGTGAACTAATGCCAGCTAACGCCCACAATGTGTATGCGTCATTCTACTGTCAGGGTAGGGGTGGAGAGCGGCAAAGCAGGTGCATCTTGGTAGTTTTCCATAACAATACCCGCATTTGAATAAGTGAGACAGAGCTGA